CGAGAGTCTCGACAACTCGACTACATTTCGCAGTTTACTTCAGACATACAACACATTTCTAGTCGCAGACGCCTTGTCTCGAATAAGTTCCTTGAACAGTTTCCAAGGAATCGACCTTCTTAAACTCGCTCAGCTTCAAAAAGAAGACATTGATCTTCAGCATGAGTTATCCTCGACAACTCTAAAACTAAGTATTAAGCAGATGGGAACAGGTAAGGAAACCTTACTCTGTGACACATCTACAGGTAGGGATCGTCCAATAGTACCAAAACATTATCGACGCAACGTCTTCAATACGTTGCACAATCTTTCTCATCCAGGTGCTCGTGCAACAGTCAAACTTATAGCCGAACGCTTTTGTTGGCCTGGCATGAATAAAGACGTGAGGGAGTGGGCACGCTCCTGTGCAAGCTGTCAGAAATCTAAGGTCATAAGACACAACAAATGTCCCTTAGGCTCTTTCAAAACCCCTGACGCTCGTTTCGACCACGTTTATCTAGATTTGGTAGGACCCTTACCCGACTCAAACGGATACTCATATCTCCTAACATGCGTAGACCGTTTTACTCGATGGCCAGAAGCAGTACCGATTAAGGACATTACTGCTGAAACCGTGGCCCGCGCTTTCGTCGAACGATGGGTAGCAAATTTCGGCTGCCCCTCAACCATCACTACAGACAGCGGACGCCAGTTCGAATCTGGACTTTTCCGTTGTCTCACCTCACTTTTAGGAATCACGCGCTTCCGAACGACCGCCTACCACCCACAAGCAAACGGGTTGGTAGAACGTTTTCATCGACAATTAAAAGCTTCATTATCAGCTTCAAACGTTTCACAGTGGACAGACGCTCTTCCACTCGTCTTGCTAGGTATCCGCAATGCAGTGAAAGCTGACATTGGATACACGGCATCTCAACTCGTTTACGGAACGGCACTCCGACTCCCAGGAGAATTCGTAGATCCTTCAGCTTCTTCATTGAACATGGATCTAAACTCTTACACGAGTAGGCTTACAAACGCTATGCGTTCAGTTAAACCTGCTCACACTTGACCTCAATCAACTGATGTTTTTGTTCAACCCGAATTACGACATAGTACACACGTCTTCGTTCGTCGAGACTCACATCGACGACCCCTCGAATCAGCATACGAAGGACCCTTCGAAGTTCTTCAACGCGAACCTAAGTACTATGTAGTAGATAAGAACGGTATGAACGATAGCATCAGTATCGATCGACTCAAAGCAGCGTACTTAGAAGGAAACCCTAGCTACGTCGATTTTCCTTCGGTACAAGCAAACGAAACAGCCACTACACTCGTAGTACCCTACACGACAACCGACACACAACTTAATACTTCGTCAACATCGATAGATAAACCTAAAACAACGCATTCTGGAAGACGAGTAAGATTTCCAGAACATCTTAACGAATATTGCACGTAGGACATAAGCTTTATCTTGAATTACCCTTCCATAGTTTATTATAAATAAATTTTTGGTATGATAATTTTTTTATTTATATAAAAAAACCAAAAAAAAACATACTTATTTTTTTGAGCGTATATATATATATATATATATATATATTTATTTATTTATTTATTTAAAAAAAACCAAAAAAACCCATTTTTTCCGAGCGCTTTTCCTCTGTTTGTAAGTGTATTAGTTTTTTTCCGCTTATCTTGTGTCCTTACGCAAGTACGAGTGTATTTTCGACATGCACTCACACGTGTTATTTTTTCTCTTTTCCAGGACGGCTGGAAAAGAACGACGAAGTTTCGCAAGGAACCGAAATTTTCATTGTACTATATTTCTTTATTGCTATGTTGTACATTTTGGTCCCATAGTTTAAGGAAAGACGACCAGACGCTGCTAAACGAAGCAAGCTATCAGAAGAGTGATTACCAACGACAAACTCGTTGGGTTTAAGCTTCTGGCTGGTCACGTCTTAGGGGCATCACTACCTCACTAGGGGGGGAGTGATCTGTAGCTGTAAATAATTTCCCAAAATCAATAGCTCATTGAGTGTTCGACATTGGATGCTGACCACGTTGTTTAATTGGACTTGTTTAACTGAAGGCTTTCGGTCATGCATCCGTACCAGATCACGTTTCAACTCGGCGTGGGACACAGCTCCTACGTTTATTAGCCAGCTTATAGTAAAGGTTCCTCGATATATTGGTAACGTATCAAATATATCTTTCCTACCTCTCCTCGTATGACTTCTGGTTTCTATTCGACTGGGGAAAGAACGATTATAGCAGATACTACTGGTTGCTAGTTGCCAAACTAGAATATCCGTGGTATCCTCAAGGTGATCGAAACTGAAGATATGATTGTTGTTTATAGTCAATGGAATAATAATCATAATAATAATAATGAAGATAATGATGGTAACATTAACATTAATAAAACTGGGATGACAGTTATCGGCGGATAGTGGTTGGCAAACTAACTATAAAACTAACTAACTAATTAACTGTACGTATTATGAGGATGAGTTTGTTTTTTCTGCTTATTTGACTTGGTTAATTTATATGGTCTGCTTACCTATTTCCTTGTTTCTTAATAATTGTGTACATGAGAGATAGATAAGCACAGTCTTGACTTTTGAAATAACTTCTTAATTGACTAGTAGTGAGCAAGAATTTTTCTGAGAGGTTGTTGTGTTTTGCTGGTGGTGTAGTTTGTTGGAGGTGTTGTTATTGTTATTACCACGAACAACAACAAGCTGGAAATGGGAAGTGGGGTGAGGTGATTGTAAACTGTTGTGATTTCCGGGTTGGTGATACGTCTTCGACGGAGTGGTGTTCGGCGGTGATGGTAAAGGAGGCGGGCGGGTGGGAGCGTCGTGCGTTTGTGTTTGAGGCTGAGGGGTTGGGGGTGGAAATGGGGTGTTGTTTTGGCTGGCATCAGAATAAAAGGTAACAAGTTACCATTTTTTCGTTATATCCGTCTTCAGTGAACGATAGGGAAAGCTGTCCTTCAGTCATTCTAACGTTTTCTAGACTCATAATAGATGGTCGGCAATCGGTGATGAGGATTTCGCAATTGGTTTTGAAGATTCACCTTCTCTCGTCAGCAAATTAGAACACCGAAGATTGAGAAGTTTAATACCTGTAATACTGGAAATGGGAATTTCGGTTGTCTTAATTAAAGCATCGCGATTTAATGACTTCAACCTTTCAGCTGAAATTGTGAGTTTGAATTTGGCAGTGTCAATAATAATATCGGGAAAAGCATCACTGTACAAACGTAGTCGTTTTTTTGTATATGAAGTAAATTTCTCTAAGCAGTAAGTAAAGATAGTGTATGATTATTAGAATCAACAAATTAATAGAACCCGAATTACGAAGTTTAGTATTACTTGCAGCGACATGAACAGTAGTTTTACAGACCGATTTGATGTACCACATTTTACCATGACGAAATACACACGAATTACGTAAGGAAAATTTACAACAGGATAAACGTTTACTAAACCTGTGCTCACCTTTGTATCCTGCTTTACAATTCTTTGTTGAGTAATTTTTCATATTCCCACTAGAAGAACTGTTATCAAACAAACGTAAACTTGAGCGATGTTGAAAATGCACTAGTTTAAGAACAGCTCCATGTAGTCTTCGAAGTCGTCGCCGTTTGAATTAATACTCAACTGTTCAAGATTTGTCTCCATCGCCATGTCAGTATAGTGATTAGAACTATTCGAATTAACGTACAAACAAGAGTTCCCGAAATAGTGCAATTTACAGTAAGTAGAACTAGATGAGCACAAATAAACGTATTGTATTTGGAACTCGTAATCAACCGGTCAAGTACAAAAGAATCATTAGGCCGTACAAACATCACAATGTCATAGACTTTTGGTCGGGGGAGAAGGTTGTTTCGGCTGACAGTGGTGGATGGGAGGTAACTGTGTTTGTGCGTGTGACTTTTTCCGCCGATTGGTGTAAGTGTCGCATACTTGGGAATCGAATGTAAAGGTGTATAATTCGTTCCGCAGGATAACCTGAAAATGAGTTCTCTGAACGTATAAGTTTGGTCATTTGAGTTAATAATGTATCTGCCAGTAGATGCGAATCCTTTAACAGACAATGAACTATAGACATTGTTCTAAGCACAGAAATAAATGGGCGGATTGACATGGTGACTTTGAGAACATTCAAGGTTTTAGTTCAAAGTTGTGTCAGACATTTATGTAAGTTATGGGGATTACCTCATGATTCTTTATCTCGCAGGGGTCTGTGAAATCCTTGTTCATGACTATATTACTTGTTAGTAGTGAAGAGTTATAGCAACTATCCGACAATCAATTTCGATCATGGTTAATTTTGGTCAAGTCCTTTTATTAACTTACTTAACAGACATTGTCGTTGGGATAGTAACAATTTGCATATATCTTTGTACTGTTATGATCACTAGGGCACATGACAGACTCTAGCCAAAACGTTGATTGCTTAAATATTATTCGATGGCTAATCCGCCTCCCCATATATGTATGCACTCAAATTCTATTATTAGCTTTTGCCTTATCTTGCTGTGCCCTTATACAATTTGACTATAAATTTGCCTATTTAATTGCTCACGCTTGTTTGCTGATACTTACTCATGTGCTTGTAGCTTTATGGTCTGCGTCATTTCATAATAAACTGTAGTTGCAGCATCTCTTTGCCTTCTGATTTGATGCACCGTTGAGATTTGTATTATAACGGCTATCGAGGTGAAAGATTAGCAAAGCACTGCACTACAGATTCATTCCCTTTTTTATTTCATTGCCTAATTCAAGTATTGACAAGCTAGCTATGTTCTTATTAGTTCAAACTTATCTTACATATGTAGCTACTCTGAACTCATCATTTTTACATCTGATTGGTTTAACACTGACTGCTTTTTTGTTTTAACACCTTGAATGTAAACTATATATATATATATATATATATATATATATATATATATTCTTGAGTAACCGAAACAGTCTTCTGATTCAAACAGACCTCGGTTGCGTTATTCAAAATAACTCAACTTCTATTCTAAGAAACCTATATATATAGTATTGCCAAGTTTCAAATAATTTCGTCGAAAAAAAGGAATCGTATCACTGGACCAATAATTTTACAATGTGGATGATTTGTTAAAAGTGATACATACAAATGTTTTCTAACCAAAAATTCAACAATCAATGATTTCTTTTTCAACAAAGTTTGTAAAAACTTCAACAATAACAATAATCATAATGATCATTTATACATTTACAATAAATGTCTTTAGAAAATACTGTTCTGAAATTATATCATTCCTTTTATAAGTAAATAATTAATCGATAGAATTTTGTTTGATTTCTCGATTTTCAAATTGATTTAAAGAAAAGCAGAATTTCTTTATTAATATCACAGAATACTCTCAAAATATGAATGTTTTAATGCTTGGTCAGCTGACATTCGATCTGCTGGATTACAGACCACAAGTTGCTGATTTGTAAAAAAAAAAATAAATAAAATAAAATAAAATACGGAATAAGAATTTTTAAATACAACACAAAATTTGCTACAAGAAAAAAAAGTGATATTTACTACTAACCGACCCAAGTTATAGAAATATTGAAAACTAACGAAGAACTAGTTTTTTTAATCAAGTTTATGACTTCAACAATACGAGAGTTTAACTCCACACGAATTTCAAACGCATCATTTTTAAGTTTCAATCTAAGTACAGATCTATATGGTCATATAGGTCGAAATCACTAGTGCATAGATCTAAATTCAATCACAATTGATGATAGTACAGCACGGTCATCAATAATTCTTCAAATGTTGTAGGTTCGTACAGAATAGTTTACTTTTAACATATACACATAACTCCCCTACACAAATGTAGTGACCAAATTGTATTTGAAGAAAGGCTTTAAAGATGAAAACTGTCTGAATATCAGTATACATATATTTCTTATAGTTGAAAGTGTGAGTCAATTGAAGCTAGACCACCATGGAAAACCTGGTGGAGTCACATAATAGGACGAAACGGCCGTCCAGTGCTTCCAGGTTTTCCTTGGTGGTCTAGCTTCAATTGACTCATGATTTCAACTATGAAAATACTAAATCTCCATAAAACCCCTTCTGGTAATAATATATTTCTTACTTAATCGTAAGAAATGTTATACTCTGACCTTCATTTTCGATGGGAAGTTATCAATTAAATACTGAAATGCACTTAGTTTCCGGATGAAAAATAATTTAACTCGATAAAATACCAATATTTATGTTTCTGGTCAATGAAATTAAAGTCCTCATTAACTTCCATTTGACTTATTGACTAATATTATACGATTTACTAATTTACCTTTCACAATCAGTCACTTTTTGACTTGATCTTGTATGGTTGGTATTTTCCATTTTATGGTATGATGCGGTCTGGTTTGTTTGTATATAAACCAAGTATGTCTGAAATATATGACTTGTACAGTAGAAGCTGTGTTCTAGACTCAAACGGACAGGGCTGCTCATGCTGGTTTATGTGTCATTGGTGTGGGTCATATAAATCGGGGTTCTTATTGGTAGAATTAATCACGTGATAAAATTAACCAGACAAAATTCATAACAATGGGAGACAATGATGATGTTTTCAATTCACGCTGTTCAGTATAACACGCTCGTTATCATCGTATTAATTCATTGAATCACATTAATAACGTAATGGTGTTAGTAGTTAGTCGCTGCTGAAATATCAGAGTGGTGGCAACGAACCTAGGGGATACGGATTTGAAACCCCTAGAAAGTTATTCAGTTTCATGTAAGCAACTGAAGCATTCGGATTATAAGTAGCTTCCTAATAAATGTTTATGGATATATGAGACTACTTAGTTACTATCTAGCTTAATAGTAGTATTATCTAGCCAAGTAGTAAACCATCAATAAAATCGTATACAGAATGGATGGTTCCATGATGACTCCATGGTCGAATTGGCAACAGGCTCTCTATGAAAACTGAAGGTTCTGGGTTCGATTTCATGAAGGATCGCACACTATTGGTGAGTTCAAGATTATGACGCGACACTTGTTCACCTCTCCCCGTTTTTCAACGCATCATCAACTAACATTTGTCAATGAAACTTACGTACATGTTATCCCTCTATCCTTAAGGATCTTATTCTTATTGGTTAGAATTTATAACACTAAATGATAAAAATCCATAAAACTACATACAAAATAAAGAAATGGCAAATCTATTAGTTTCGGTATTTTAATATTGACGACTATTGTAAACTAGAGTTGATGCCTGGACATTAATTGTAGTTACATGTGTTTGTTTATTATTGGATTGTCGTTAACAGTGGATTCCATGAAGCGTCTCGTCTAATTTAGAACTTTTGAACATCAATTCTGAGAAAGTACAAAACATTACGAATAACTTCTTGCTAGTTCAATAAGCTAGTGATTATGTGGAGCCAACCGCTTACTGAATAACATATTCAAATTTGAAGAGATAAATGTACTGGAATTGAATCTCACTGTAAACTTTAACACCTAGATGCAGTTACATTTACCTAAAACAACATGAATCATGTCCTGAATCTAGCTATATATCAAACATTTACTAAATATAGTATAGAGAACAAAATAATCCATTCAAAAAGTTACACGTATAGAACAACACAAAAAATAAAACTTTTCTTTTCGCCTACTTGTAATAAATCACGACCACGAAATGACATTTTCGGAACAACTTGATGCCAATTCATTGTACGAGGATACATTACAGTAAATGGCTAATAGATCAATAACGATAACGTAATAAATAAATTAAATAATAAAAATATATTAGATATAGCAAATTGAAATAAATTGACTAATTAATGTAACCACATTTTAAACAATGGAATAAATTAAATATTGATAAGATTATTGTATGAAGAAAGATAATAGATAAATAATATTGAAATTAAAATGTATTATTATTTTATATAAATTTAGAAAAAGAAATGGTTTATTCAAATAAACAAGTTTTGATAGAAATGAATGAATGAATGATCAACATTGAACTATTACTGATACATAACTATCGTACCATTGTAGATATCTGAACTATGTATGAAATGATCAGATTCTCTTTTTCATTTGATTCAATAATAATAACCTTCCGAAACAATTAACTTTACATATTCTCTATTCAATATCAGTCAGTCAGTCAGCTACAACTTAGGACTAGGCACACATATGCATCGGCCCAAATTGCCATATCCCGTTAGCACAACAAGATGGACACCGGACTCATAGAAATAGTTAATTTAGTGGTGGTAATATATAAAAGATAGGTTGTATATAAGGATATAGTATAGGAAAGAAGGACGTTATGAAGCAATTTCAATCTTAAGGCTTAAGGGAAGATAAAGAGTGTATGGACCTACGCCATTGTGATCGATTCTGAGCCATTCCACACAGAGTCTCCGACCATTGGTTACGATACTCACGCAGACCTCGATCGAGTAGTCTGCATCCACCAACATGGCTCAGATTAGAAATTAATGACTTCAGACACGGATGCCACGTTTTGGTTTGGCACCCCTAACTCTCTTCCATCCGTCTGTAACACTAGTCAACATTGTGCGTCGTGGTAGTCGGTGTTCAGGCATACGTACCACGTGGCCCAACCATCTCAGTCAATGAAGATTTACAACCTCATCAACTGATTAACCATCATTCCCTAATACCTTGTCTAACTTCACTATTACTTACCCGGTAATCCCGGAAGATGCGAGTAATATTTCTAAGGCATCTGTGATCAAATACTAATCAATATTGTCAAAAATATTTTTTTTGGAAAATTATTTTGAATGTTAAACCATTTCTGACAACTCCATTTTCTTAGACAACATTAAAAAGAAAAAATAATTCTATACAAAATTGTGAAAAGTTTAATGAATATAAAATTGGTTATGACCATGTATAGAAATTTATGTATATTCACGTTAAATACGCATTCTTTGTATGAGACTTTTACTACCAAAATATAAGATAACTTTCTTTGATAAAAGAAAAAATAAGTTGTCCATTATATTCTCACGTGGGGATTGAAAGAGTCGGATGGCATACTTCCAAAGTATCGAACGTGTGTTTAACATGTCATGTGAATACAATAAGATAGAATTCAGTGCAGTAAAAGTTCCTATCCAGACATTTAGTAAAATAAAACAAAATAGTTAGGACAAATAAATGTTGACACCTGTATGAACGATAACGCTTAGGATATTTGGCTTATCTAAACTATATAAAAGCGCCTCACGATTTCAACGTGTTTTGGATACGAATAATTCCGCATAAATTCGCAAACCATTTGGAGTTTTTAATGGCAATGTAGAAAACCTCCGTAAACTTATTGATATTTAAAAGGAACTGGTGGTTAAAAACAACTTTTACCGGGCATTAAATGTATATCCTCAATTTTCTAATTTTTTACACAACTGAATTTTATTTACGGTTAACTAATAGACAGAAACATAAAAACTTTGGTTCTGGTTTGTATAATAAGAGTTCATTCTTATGTGTACGACGGATGCCTACTTTTGATTCAGCAATGAACTCTATAGACAAATAAATGATGCAGCCATCCGTCTCCTGACAAAATTTTCTCTTGGAAAATACCATCAACATTCTTCTGAAGAAGAATAGAATAATAGCATAATATTCCTAGATATTTGATTGACAAGACAATTAGATGTAAAATTAAGAAGAGATATATATAGAAATTTTGCAATTGGACAAATAAACTCATATCTATAGTTCTGTACCAATCAAATATAAATAGAGCTTAATAAATATCTTGACTAGTGCTAAAGCAACTCGCTATGATGTCTAAACGAAAGATTAACTGAATAATGTACGTAATCTTCTCAACAAGAATGAAGTTTGTACAACCCTAATTTTTGTTTTGACCAATGACATAGGTCATACAAGAGCAAAAAAGCTTAATTTCCCAAATTTTCTAGATTTCTTTCATTTTTATGCACTTACATAATTTTAATATTTTATTCTTTATTGTTACGTAATCATTAATAAATTGACTTTACTTCAAAAATACTTTTTATCATTAGATATTATGCAGTTTGGCAACTGTTGTTGATCAACACATTTCCAACTACAATTACCTTGTCCTGTCATTTTATATTACCTTTATAATCACATTGTAACATGGCTTTTAAGATGTCAACTAGAAAAACCACGTTTAAAGTGTTACATTAACCAGGTAGAAACAATTAAGTTGACGTAAGTTTCCTTATCAAATTTACACAATGTAAAATTGATGATGTTAGCGAAATACAATGAATTCATAGTATTTTAGTAGTTGAATTCATGAGTCGATTTAAGCTAGACTACAATTGAAAACCTGAAAGCACTGTACGGCCGTTTCATGCTAGTTTGGGGCTCCTCAGCAGTGTGCATGCACGATCCCGCAAGCGGAACTCGGACCCAGGTGCTTCGGTCTCGTGCGTGAACGCTTAACCTTTAGACCACTGAGCCGGCGTCGTGGATTGCTTGAAGTTAGACATTAACATCACTAAATGTCCTGGGTTCGAATCTAGCGAGTGGGATCGTGCATGCGCACTGCTGAGGAGCCCCAAACTAGCATGAAACGGCCGTACAGTGCTTTTAGGTTTTCAATTGTAGTCTAGCTTAAATCGACTAATGAATTCAACCGTTAAATTACTACAATCTCCACAAACCCCCATTTTTATAATAATCATAGTATTTTGTTGATTTCAACTCACTTTCAAACAAGCTAAGTAGTTTAGTTAGTATGTAATTAAACAAAGAAACCAAAGGTAAGAATATTTTACTCGAGAACAAAAGAAATAAAGTGAATGAATATTGCAATCTAACTGAAAAGAAATACTTATTCGCTATGTTTCTGTTCTGTTTTGAAATGATTAAATGATAATCTTCACTTTACATTAAAGATCAATAAACTTCATTTAGTATTGTTTGTTTGAATCTTCCCATCGATGTGTTAGGACTGCAACTGATCAGTCTCTAATTGGCATATGTGCATACTGTGCGTATTGCCTCGATATAGCCTTAATTCACAAGCATGGTAAGCAAAGATGGATAGTGTCCCAGGGTGAATATCAACTCTGAGATGTAGGTACATCCAGCTGATGAGTCCCAAATAGGACGAAACGCGCGTCCTGGATTCCACTGCTAGCCATTATCCATCCTTGCTTACCAAGATCAATAAACTGCTTAAAAGGCAAAATTGCAAGTATATTTTTACGTCTTAAAGGGACTTGATGGAAATAATTAGACTGTTAATTCTGTAATAATGCAAAGAATTTTGTTACTCTTTAAGACAAATATTTATCTTAGGAAAATATGAAAATAAAATCCTCAAATTAAATTCAGTGAACTGTAATCACATTCAAAATAGGAAAGAAGTTATTACACGGAGTTTGCTTCTGTTGCCAAGGCAGCTGAAGATTATGCATTGATTTTTTCTGAAAACAAAAGTTATATTTTAACTTAAATGCCATGATATATACATATATATATATATATATCCGTCAGATAAGAAAGGCATTAATTTCATATTTCAAAACATGAAGTGATCAGCTGAAGAGTATCTGTCAACTACCCAACGTTCGATATGTTTATACAAGAAACTTGTACCAAATCTAAGTTTTGCAGTCTCATTGCACAAGAACCAGAATAATATCAGGAGAAAGTCAAAGTTCCAGTCAAAATACATAATCTGTGTATATATTGACGTTAGCGTAATCCTACTCATTAATACATCAAAACATTGAGTTGTACATCGTCTTTAACGTCTCATAGTAAATATGTTGCAATTTAATGATTCCGGTGAATAATTAAGGTTGTACCTGAATGATAATATGTTTTGATAGAAAAAGACAATTATTTTTTAGACAAATCATGTATTATTGCTTACTTCATAGTCGGGTAATTCAACAACAGATGGCCAGGTTGATTCAGTTGGAGTTCCTAATAATCTAAATAAACAAAATTAATCAAGATAAAACCATGAAATGTAAATAGATTAATAAGAAATGTGAGGAAAGAATACGAGAAGTAAGCAGTAAATAATAAACGCACATGTAAGATTTTATGCAACATCGGGGTTGGGAGAAAATAAAATATTTTCACCAAGAAAGAAAAAACTAACCAAATGTTTCGTGTTGAATCTACTATAAAAACCAATAGTAGAGTGGAAATAATTTGAAAGGTAAGAATAGTTTACACATGACTAACCGAATTAATACAATAATGAAGATGTAATTTATAAATATGACAACTGTGTTAATTAGAATAACAACGAGTTCACACTTACTTTTATCAGTAAAAACATTTTTGTTTGACTTCACTTAATAACAATTAAAAAAAGTTTGCTAAACAATTGATTACTGTTACTCCAGAACTAGTTGATTAAATGAGCAAATATTATTTACTGTTATAACTAGTGTTGTACGGTTCAAGATAAATGGTATAAAGACTTAAATTTTAGCTGTAACTATTCTTCTATTGATTATAGTGAGAAAACTTATGAAATTTTTGAGTTTAATACTGATATCGTTAAGATTTAATATCAACGAATTTTTAATTATATCACATTATTAATTATTAGATTAAGTTTATTCAACATCCACCTGAGCTATAAATCTTCTCTATCATCTATCTCATTGTTGAGAATGAATCAATACAATTTAATAAAAACTCTTTACAGTTGCTGGTTGCAAATGCACTGATTTTAGTTCCACAGGTAATATATTTCTCATCTGTTGCCTAGAAAAGCAACAAAAAGGATGTTTTTGCGTATCTTCTAACTAAGATAGATTGGCATTATATCATTCGACGATGTTGGTTTATATTAACCTTGTGTATTCTGAAACTCTGTTCAATACAGATAAATAGACAGTCCCTACATAGTATTTTATGTGATGTACAGTCTTTGTTCAAGTGAATTATTAAAATATGGAACTGATTTATTTTGAATAGGATACGTTAGACTAAGATTTCATTAATCAACCAGTCATAAGAAACATAGAGCCTAACATATGTGAATTGGTTCAAACTGTCATAACACATTAGAACAGACATAAGATTATTTCAAGATAAATCCCAGAATAGTAGGAGTACTGACAGGAACAGTATTAGTATTAAAAGATTAGGTATAGCAAATGAAGGTATAAGGAGATTTCATTAATACTTTTTCTCTGCAAAAAACATTGATGCGTCCTATTTTTGTGACATAACTGACCTTTTTATATCAATGATCTTTTTCAATATTAATATTTTTATTCGTTAACATAGTCATTGTAATTATGAAAACTACAAGACCAAACCTTCATTCTGATAATAAGCACGAAAAGATATTGAGTTTTTTGAACTATTGTTTTAATAATACCTAATTCCAAAAATTAGGTGAAAATTCTGAATGAATTCCATGCTTAAGAAATTTAGAAATGAACGAAAGTTACTACATATTGAACCCAAACATAATTTCATTTCTCTGTCCTTACTTGAAAATTCTCTGTAGCTGATCATCAACATCATAACCAGGGAAAAGTGGTCTTCCAGCATTGGACATTTCAGCGAAAATACAACCAGCTGACCACATATCAATTGAAGTTGTGTATAACTTAGCTCCAAGAAGAACATCTGGTGGTCGATACCAAAGTGTGACAACCTAGGAGGAAAAACCCCAGAAGTTGTTTAAAATTTAACTTTTAGAAAGCAGGAAATCTCTTGATAATTAAAATTGCAATGTATTTATTTTAAATATTTGAATTTCGTCCTGAAACACATTTGCACCAAACAGTGTAACCGTGAAAAAATAATGATAAGTAAATAATTATTGTGTTATTAACGCCAAACAATGTCTTTTTTACATTATGGGTTCATGTTTCGAAACTGTACAACTCTCATTCGAACACTAGAAATTATGATTGGTCACCGAAGAATTAAAGACAGAAATATTATTTGTTTACCAAATCGAGAAACTGATCAAAAATTTAGAAAGATAATGAATTTACTTAACCAAAAGTTATATCCACAAAGTTAGTTCGAGAAACTGTGAGTTGACAAAAACCGGTTTAGTTTCAAAAACACAAACGACTTGAAACCTTAGCCTTTTTCAACTCGTTGAAATATGCATTAATTAGAATTTTTCAGTAACAGTTTAGTAGCAAGTATAAACTATTCACAGAAACACGTAGTGGAACTGAAAAGAATTTATTCTTAAGTATCGGAGGACTTTTTTGACATGATGAAAAATGGGGTAAAACAGTAGAAATGAAAACCTCAGAAAAAGTAATGGTAACTGTTGGTCCAGAAACAAACTCTTTGTAACAATGTTAACATATCTGCACGTAAAATTATTAGAAAGCAGTAAAAGAGATCGAGTGACAAAAAGTAACCCCAAAGTATTCGAGAATAAATCACCCTTAAATCAATAGTTAATTAACGAAAATGGATGAGAAAGGTAACTGGATAACTTATTATTGGGAAAATAGATAAAGAACCTAAGGAGAGTTGTTTTAATGAAAAAATAACAATAAGCTTTCATGACTCATTTCCGCTAAAAAAAAAGAATAGGACACCAATGAAATCGCTGAAATAAACAAAGGCAATGGTCCTAGGAAGTTTTGAAACAGACAAATTAAGTTTGAACGTATATAAAAAACCTGTAAGGAAATATGAGAACCAAATAAAATCTCGAAGCATTAGGCTTAATCACTTATTAGCCACTAAATCCAGAGGAACTCCGACTGCAGCTCATCTAAAGCAACTGGAGGTCCAAAACGCAAGTAAAAGAGAGTTCGCTGTAAGGTTAGCGCAACCCAGCCTCGTAAAACAATCCTGATAGGAAAAGGAAAACAAAGAAAACCAACTGAATTCTGAAGGATATTTACAAAGAAGAAATATAACGCCTCATGATGAAAGCCTGTAGTCTCTGGATGTCACAAAGACGACTTGCCTGCTGACCACCAGAGAGCAATACACTCAGTCAGCTACAACGTAGAACCAGGCACATATATGTATCGGTTCAAGTTGCTTCACCTCATTAGCACAACAAGATAAACACCCAACTCATAGAAGTAGTTACTTCAATAGAAGTACTACGTATGCCTGAACACCGATTACCACGACGCGCAATGCTGACTAGTGTAGGGGATGGTTGAGAGTTAGGGGCGGCCAAACCAAAACATGGCATCAGTGCTTGAAGTCACTAACTTCTAGCCCTATCATTGCATGCCGGTGTAGCAGAGGCTTCCGTAACAACAGGTCTCATCGTTCAAAAGGAATAAAGCTAGATCCGGAAACATAACACAGAGAGCACTAAATAAATCACACTTTATAGAGGAGCTCTGGAAGAGGTATAAGCTTTTACGCACTCAGACAGTATCATTGATAAACAAAAAGGATCTGATGCAGATATGGAGGTATAAAGTGGCAAAGTAAGAGCAGCATTCCAGCAATTGAAGAATAACTGGAGCTTGAAACAACTGTCAGCCAACACCGAAGTTAGAATTTTCAACACTAACGTTAAAAAATCATACCTAACGGTTTTTAAAATTAGAGAGCTACTATAAAAATCACTAAAAGGTACAGATATTTAGAAACAGCCGTCTTCGCAAGATACTCCACATCCGTTGATCAGACATTATCAAATATAAACTACTCTGGCAAACAACAAACCAGCCTTCAGCAGAAGAGGAAATTAGGACAAAATGCTGGAGGTGAATAGGTCATACTCTATAAAAATCATCAGACTATACCATAAGGCAAGCCGTAACTTGGAATTCCCGAGGCAAGGCGAAGGTAGCAAGGCCAAACACATGGTATGGGAAACTGGGGGCATAAGTTGAAAGAATGAATAGCACTTTAGAATTATAAACGAGTACCCAGGGCGAAGTGGCTTGGAGATCTCTGATCGACAGCCTATGTCCTGAGAGGCGTGGCAGACTTTAGAAAACCCAGCAGGAAACATTGTCTTTTTGTAGGGATTACAACACTAATGTTAATAATGCTGACCTCGAAATCTTAAGCACGATAATTATTTTATGTCAAATACCAAAAGGGTAAATAAAAAAGATTTGTGAAATAGTGCACATGTGATGTAAGCCAGTTTTTAGTTTGATGCAACTGAGAAGCCTACATATATCCTGACACAACACATTTATTATAATCACAAGCTAGTGCTTGAATAACCAAACAGAGAAATTCTAACACTTGACAAGAAGGACGTTAAATAAGATGCTCTATAAGCCCCTTATAGCTAAACTATTATGGTTATGTAGGTTAGCGAGTGAGAACAGTTGATTTAATAGTCTCCAAACTGCTATTTTTCAGTTTACATCAGTATTCTTAACACTAACCTTATAGATAAGATGGCGAGTCAGATACTATTTAAAAAATGTGTTTTCTAAATGAACTAACCGTACAGATACAGTCTATAAAAAATATGAAGTGAAAACCAAGAGATGTGCGTAGTTATTTAGAACCTTCGAGGTGTAAGATGATCAGTAGCTGTTTTTATCCACATCTACCTTGACAGTATGATGGAGCGATTGAATATGACATGTGCTTTACTGAACTTGATGGTTGTGTCCACCTAGATGGCCACATAAGTGACAAGATTAAACTTCAAACACGAAATACACATAACTACCCGATCCGTTTCATTCAAAAAACGCAATACACTAAATGAGGGTGAAGTATACAATGTAAATCTGCTTGGTTTCGTCGTATGTTACTCATAGTAAATCACGAGTTGTCAGTATTTGGATACTTCTGTCTTAGGAGCACTACTACTTTCTCAAAGTAAATACTGTACAAACCAAATGTAGTCTAAGGACAAGGTAAAGAAAATGAGTTATTTAATAACCCAATCTCGATCGGAATATGGTTGCCAACTGTCTAAAGATTATCAGTCCTTAAACAGAAGTAACCGGAGGAGAGCACACAATAGTCAAGTGAGCTGACGGTAAGAAGCCACTAATTCTCTAATTGTCTATGCTATTGTAAGAATTCTGGAGAGAAACAAAACGTTATTTGGAGAAATTTAACTACTACCATTTATCTAGACGTATTAAGCAATACGTAGCCATTTGGCAGGATACTCTTACAATGGACTAGAATAGGCAACGTCTTAGATAAATAAAAATTATTTTTATACTAAATTCCTATATAATTGTAAAATGGTTACAGCTGGACTACTTTTGCACTGAGATGTAGTATTCAAGCCTAAAGACAAACACATAACTTATGAAACATATTTTATTGTTCGGATATATATATGTTCGGATAGCCACATGACGTAATACGGATGTGTAGAATACTTAAATGAATCCGCTATCATATAGAACAGTTCTATATTTTATGGTAAAAGTGTAACAGAGATGACTCCATACCCCTATACGAAAAACCAGAAAAAGTCATTAAGTAAAGTATGTTCCTAAGATATAATGCCCAAAAGTTCGAATTATACGTAGAACACAGTAATACTGTGATTTTAATCTGTCCTTTGTTAGAACTACTCAAACATATTTTTTAAAGTAGACATGTCATCAAAAGAAAACTGACTTCTGCTGAGTACTGTCGCACGGGTATTCCGTATGCACGAGCCAGACCGAAATCAGCCAACTTCAACTCTCCATTATCATTGATCAGTAGATTTTGTGGCTTCAAGTCCCGGTGTAAAACGTTGTGACTGTGACAAAACTGAAGACCACGCAGAAGTTGAAACATAAAAAGCTGGAGAATATAAAACGCAAAGACTTTAGGGTATTTTTTGATCATTTTTTTAAGATCTAAGATAAAAAATTTATTTTTTGCACGGATTTATTCTGTGGTTTATGATTACCAACTGGATAACTTGAAACATCCAAATACTTGACCATATATTCCATAAACTACTCTAAGCTCTAGTTGTGGAGCAGTTAAATTGTAACCCACCAATGAGTTTGTATGTATCAATGCCAAGGTTAGACCTGATAGTTTCAAATAAATCTTATCTACTCCGTTACTCCGTTAAGTTACGAAACGTCAGAAATACAATTTTTCTACTCAATAGAATACAACTATATATATATATATATATATATATATATATATATATATATTCATGAGTGACTCATTAAGACCTTACTGACACATTTGCACAAGGTCTGGCAAGGTATTTAAGAAATATAAGTCAGAATATTCCTATCACAGTACCCATACACTGAGGGTGTTAACGAGTATATACTCACAACAACACATTCATGGTCTTTTAGTCTACATGACCACGCACTAGCACTAAGTTCAGCCCCTAATTAGAAATTTTGATTTCTTGACAATAGTCGGTAAATAATCAGCTTAAATATCAGTGGACTAAAACTCAGCAACTAAATACATAATCGTATTATATGCTAATCCGAGATAAATTTATTATGTAAGGACTGAGAATATCTCATTTATATGCATTGATAGTGTTAGGTGGGTATAGATTGAATTAAAACGCGTGCCGTGCAGGATTGTGTTGGTGCAAGCTGACTGGCTATTTCTTATTCAATCAGCGCTAGTGGATGATTGGAGAAGACTCTAGAATCTTCTCATGTAAGAACTATAAATATAATAACGTTTTTCTTATCGTGTTTCTCACTTCCATCTACCCTTGTTATTTGGAATATAATTTCGTTCATGCTCAACCCCGTTCTGTTTTGGGGACTTGTCGGGTGAATTGGTGTCCAAGAATATTAAGCAACAGAAATAGCTGGGTCGTAATAAGAGAAATTATAACGGATAGATCCACTGTCCTTTAAACAGTACAATAGCCCACAGACGATCGACAAACAATATAAACCACGACTTCTCGTGGATTTGAAATTGATATATGAGACATATGATGAGTTGTTGAAACTGATCAACTACCTGTATCTGAAATTTTATAAAATGAAAGAAATGAATTTGGGACCCGAGTGAGAAAATTACGGAGCACAGAGATAATTATTGCCCCATAAGTTAGTGGAATGTTTAGCGAGGAAATAAACCCAAGATTAGGATCTTAAGTGTAGAGTGAGACGGAAAACCGTATGAGACTTATTCTTTTATCCATTATCTAGACAACGAGACGAAAAGTAAACCCAATAGCTCTCGATAAAAATAGGACTATAATTTCTAAGGTTTCTCTATCACTTTATCCAAAAGTAAGTCGGAAAGTAATTACTACCCGTTACAATTGAAAAATGCATGTCTTTATGAAACGGAAATTCTAATCTCCTTTTTAGTTGCATATCCTATTACCTTTGCCATTATTCTGCTTCTCTATTACTTTACTATGCCGTCTTCAGAAAATAAGATATAAAAATAATGGACTACCCTCTAAATATGTTTTGTTAATGATCACCTAAACCTGCACATTATGTATGGTGGTCATATATAATGAAGACGATCTGTCTTTACTCAGAGAGCTGAATCCTATGTTAGCTAATAACAAACATCCGACCAGTATTTGAACAATCAAAATCTAAAATGTACATCAATTTATTTGATACCTTTACAGTATTCTGATCTATATCGCCATTGCAACTGTCGAAGTATTTCTTCAAATCTTGATCACAATATTCAAATACAATTGTTAGCCTTGACTCGCTTAACAGGACGTCAAAAAGTCTAAAAATTTCATTACTTGATAAACTAGATAAGAAAACACCTGACAATGTTCTTATGTTTGAGTTCTTTTAAGAGGCATATTTCTCGAAAAGCTGAACTAGGAATACCTTCATCGTCATTTTCTAGTCGAACACGTTTAAGTGCGACAATTTCATGCGTTTCTCGGTTTCTCGCCTTATAAACTTTACCATATGTACCTAGAGGGTAACACAAGCATTCACATTAAAACAGCATGTAAATACCTTCTCCAATTTTCTCTAGCTTTTCATACTTCAAAACAACTTGGTTTGTCATTAGTTGATGGGTGTCATAGGATCAATGCTAATTGATTTGAATAGTTAGTTCATGAGACCATCAAAATGAAAGATAGTCCTGGAATATGAGAATACAAGATTTTTTTCAGAAAAAATCACAATACGTATAGACGTTAGATTTTCAACAAAGACCACATGGATCATTAAACATCTACACAATATCGTTAAGAAAAATATTGAAGCAAATATTAGTCTTCAATAATAACAATAGTAGCATTGTTAGTTTGTATTCATGGACGTTGCATTCAAACAGGGATTTCTTACAAAATGAAGTAGAAAAGGAATTCTGGTCATTTTCGCTAGATTTTGTGACATCATTTTCAGCTAATAGTTTAAATTGCAATTTCTAGTTTCATATACAACAAGATTCGATGCATCTTACCGAAATACTTCGGAGGAATTAAAGTTACATCAAGGTAAAGTATTTGAAGAGACAATTTGATCTGGTCAACGATTCATAAATTGACCAATCGATAATCGTGGAGCTAAACGATTTGAACCAAGAGAAAACCAAGAATTGACGAATCTATCGACTGTGAATCAGAAGCGTGTTTTGTTTGCTACTCGTCTAGAAACATGACTTCACGGGCCCTCAGTTGATAACGTACGATAACTACATAGGTTACCGAGTTAGCTAACAATTCCTGATGTTATTTTTTCCCTAAGTCAAGGACCAACTTTGGACCTGGGAAGCCTAGCTTTTAATCCAAAGTTCTCCATGGTAATAATAGTGCCTTATAATCAACTACTACCGGATGCTTTGAAACACCTACACACAACATATTGCTCTAAAGGAGTACATGAAAGTCTAGCAGTATTGATAGTGTTATTCTAAAGACACTTCGTATATTCTGCTAACATGGGTCTACATGATTTACAGAAAGATGAAATAAAATTACCTAGATTTTCGTATGGGTTACACACAAACTTCGTAAACTAAAAATAACTTAAGTAATTTGAAAAGTTTTAAAAACAAGGAAAATTGCGTTCCAACGTTTCAGTAGCTTAAAATATTTAAATTAAATGGACTTGTGGCGGTTTTCGGCTGGCCACAAAGTACTTTGTGTACCAGGGGAGCATTAAGAGTAGCGAAGGATGATCATATAAGAGAAGCACAAAAGAAAAAGTGGATCGACGAACAAGGAAGCGCACAAAATGCACTTAAATTTACTACGGAAAGCAATAGACAGCAACTAGCAAATAAAAAAAGCCTCAGATTAAGATAATCTTGAGACTGGAACTGAAGGAAGCAGGCGGTATAACCCCGAACAAAACTGTGAGTTAAATCAAGAGCTGACTAGTCAAGGTCAAGAGATTTTCTTTGGACAGTGTTACTAGTCTCTTAGACCTTGTTTAAATGGTTCAAATGGTTGTAGGAGGAGATGAAAAAACTATCAAAATCTTGAAGCAGTGCATCACACGTAACACCTTTATAATAAAGGATACCAACCCAGTCAACTCATAGGTAAAGGAGTTCGAAGATATATTTGAGGAAATGTCTATATGTTGAGCGGCCAAGCGCCTTCAGCTAGGGTGTGTCCAGTAACAAGAAGAAGGTCAGAATCAACGTGAAAAACATGCAGAACTGTTTGTTTTGAGGAGTTATTTGCTGTTACAGCTCACTGTCACTTTTATCGATACCAGCATTAACAAACGTACAAAATATTAAAGGTTATGCCTTGCCTAACATTTAATAAAATAGATATCAGACTCCGTTTGTATGAATCCTTGATAATCTCAGCAATATTTGTTAGGTAACACAGACTGCTTTCGGAAGGAGAGTCATCAAGGAGACTCTCACATTTAATGTACGCGTAGTATGTCCTAAACATTAGTCTACAATTGTTGTGGTTCATTTGCAGTTTTTTGGGAATCAATTATCACTAGACATGCTTTAGTAGCACAGTATATGAGAGTTGGACGTATTCCCATCTGACTTATTGTAATCACTGATTGTCCTTAGAAGGATTAGTTTGACTGACAAAACATCTAAAATACTTGCCTCAATAATTATCAGAAGCTTAACAAGGACTCCTGAACTCCAAACACTGGAAAATCAGGCTGGCTTCAGACCTGGTCGTGGCTATATCGACCACATTTTCACTATTCGTCAGGACTTAGAACACAGACAGGCTTATCAGACAACGATAGTTTTTCTTGATCTCGGTCTGTAGACCGAGAGGCTCTGTTGCAGTGTCTATCATTGAAAGATGTACCTCAGAAGTACATAAACCTTGTGATGGCTTTTTACTCCAACACTGCCAGTCGAGTGAAAGCTTATGGCGAACTGTCACCTGATTTTACAACCTCAAGTGGTGTCCGACAAGGCTGTCCGCTATTCGCATTTTTGTTTAAATTCATCATAAGTTTGTGTGATGTTTAAACAAACCATCACTTCTTTCAACGTTTCGCCTGGCAATCTGGTCCAAGCTTTTTCAAAGAATTCCTTGAAAAAGCTTGGACCAGATTGCCAGGCGAAATGTTGGATTTACTACAAATTCATTCGCTGAGATTTTATAAATATATTCTTATTCCTATTTAATGTCTTACATTAACTCGGCGCTCAAATACTGTGAAACTATTCACTCTAATTTAGAAGAGAGTTACTATACAATGACTTTTTCGTATTGATGACTGTTGTCATTTTGAATTCTAAATACAATACATTCGTTCGGGCTCATCTAATACTTCTTGATTACATTGAGTTATTCCTGGGATTACTAGTTTATACTACAATTCATATACTTCTGATCGTCATATTGGCGTCGCGATTGAGCCTGTGATGAAACGGTTGGATATAAATTCAGATTTTAATGCTTTTGAGGAGTACATGGAGAGGTTCGAAATCTAGGCTATGAACAAGGAAGATGATGAAGATTTTAATATTGTGGCCCATTTCCTTACATTCATCGGAAAAGAAGCATACAGCCTTATAAAGACTTTGACACCTCCAGACAAACCGATTTCTCTCCCCTATGAAACTCTCAAGCAACTACTGTTGGATCATGTAAAGTATACAAATTCCGAATGCGATAAGAGAGAAAAATCAGGTAAAATGACTCGACAGAGCATCAGGAATTCCACTTCTTTAATAAGTCGTCGCGGTTCGATGCGTAATCAAAGTTATTCAGATAATACTTCATTGAGCTATGAAACAGTCCATGAAGATGAGCACGAGTTTAGCAAATGCTTGTTCTGCGGCAAGTGTCACCCATGTAATTCATGTGTATTTCGTAATTTCAAATGCTTTAAACGTGGTAAAACTGGACACATTCAGTCAGTTTGTAATACCATGGTTCATTTCGCTGAAACTAATGCTAAGATGGATGCTTCTAATGATCAGTTATCTTTATCTAGAAGTGGTATAACGTCACATAACAGTTCAGAGTTGAATGAAACCCAGGATCATTGTGCGACAAAAATTTTTAGTCAACAAACTTATCAAATTTCTCATGTCATTGTACCAGATATGGTTTGTCGCAATAATTCACATACTTCTGATGGAATTTCTTACAACTCTGAGAATAGAATACTGAATGAGTCAAATCATGATCAAAAACCAGATTCAGTTTTGGTAGATGCTGAATTCCCTGATGATCCATTATTCTCTAATGAAACTCTTAATCAATTTGAGGAAAATATTTCAGAAGAATCGAATTCTGATATCATATCAAGTGTCAGTGGTCCTCACAATCAATTTATCTTTAATGATATTCCTAATGAATGTGAAAAACATGTTCCGAATGAGTCGAATTGTAGTCATATTTCTGATGTTATTGTATCAGATATTGGATACTCTCACGAACAATGTATGTTGAATAGAATCCCTAGTTAGGGGTATAATGAATCAGAGGGGATTGCAAAATTTACCGAAATAATCAGAGAACCAGCTTGCCCAGAAGTGAAGTTTGCACAGACAGAGAATCCAAATCAAATCCAAGATTATCCTAATGAATATGAGGCAGATGAATGTTTTCTATTCGATTGTTTCGCAGGTAAATCAAGCCTAATTGAATCACGTGTGTTAATTACATATATCAATGTATATCCATCTGTGTATTCTAATATGAATAACAAAAAGAATATGTATCATGATTTTTATTCAATTCAAAGTCACATGATGGAATACCTCGAATTATATATCAGTGTTTATCCCCAAATACTCACATAAAGTAGTCGATGCGTGAGATTTGAGAGGATACTGCAAATTGGGAATGTCATATTGGCTACAACATCGTGACATAAGGACACAACATTATTTCGTGGGGGAGGATATTGTTGGAAGGTTTATGATGCAAATTCTAAATATCAATGGTTTCACTACACAACCGACATGCTGATTGTATACAATTCCAGAACCCAGGTGAGTCTGTTCCAATTTTCGTTGTTAATTCTAATACTAATGAGTGCATTCTAGATAATACAGAGTGTACAACCAATACACCATCGGACAGATGTAAGATGAATTTAAGAAAAAGACGAACAATCGATTACAGACACTTACACTCCGATTCGAGCTGTGGCGGATGTGATGTTTAAATAAATCAATGACTTCTTCGTATTGATGACTGTTGTCATTTTGAATTCTGAATACAATACATCCGTTCGGGCTCATCTAATACCTCTTGATTACATTGAGTTATTCCTGGGATTACTAGTTTATACTACAATTCAGAAAACTTCTGATCATCATAGTGTGCTGCTGGAAATAGCACTCTCGTCGACTGAATTTTCGAGAATACATATACTATGAGATCCACTTATGAACTTGGAATACGCAGATGATATAGTTCTTTTGGGTGAAGACGTTAATAAAATGCAGCGTTTCGGTAGCACTGAGCAAAAATGTCAAGGTGTTTGGAATGCGATTCTCCCCATCAAAGGCAAGTTGATGCTCCAGGAATGGCCTGCGTCAACACCTGAACTAAGGATAGGGAGCGAAGTAGTCAAACGCTTCGATAACTTCACTTAACTTAGAAGTCTGATCAGCCCTAATGGGTTGGTGTCTGACGAAATCTGTTCACGTATTCAGAAAGCTCGTTGGGTTTATGTCAACTTCTGTCACCTATGGTGAAGGCGAGATATCCATTGATTAATTAAAGGACGATTATACTATGAGGCAGTTCGTTCTGTTCTACTTTACGGCTGCGAAACGTGGCCATTAAAGGTAGAAGATACTCATAAGTTACTAGTATTTGATCACAGATGTCTTAGAAATATTGCTTGAATCTGCTGAGATCACCGGGTAAGTAATAGTGAAGTTAGACACAGGGTATTAGGGAATAATGGTAAGTCAGTTGATGAGGTGATGAATCTTCATTGACTGAGATGGTTGGGCCACGTGGTACGTATGCCTGAACACCGACTACCACGACGCACAATGTTGACTAGTGTTACAGACGGATGGAAGAGAGTTAGGGGTGCCAAACCAAAACGTGGCATCAGTGTTTGAAGTCACTAACTTCTGGTCTGAGCCCCCAAATACCCTGGTACGGCCGAGAGTGGGGAGGTCTCGTCCTCTCTCTCGAAGTGCTCTCACACGGTCACGCGTATACAGCCTCCGCCAGGGAATTCCTACTCGCTGCCTTCTCGTGGCGTGGCTGTTGTTTACGGAATTGAGAGGACGAAAAGCGAATGTCCCGCGCTTTGACCGGGTTGGTGGACACGGAAAGTCCACCTAGGGAAGTTGGAAAACCTTGATTCCAAATCAATGGTGCACATGGGCTCCAGTATCTTGAGGGAACAAATGACTTGTGAACCAATCGTCAGTCACCGGCCACCATAGGACTGCATCTCCTTACGATGCCTTGTGAATTAGGCCTTTAGGTCAAAGGCTACGGGTGTGGCCCCCTGAGAAAACCATCTCCTTCGGTCTGGGAACCCGAGTAGTATCATAGCCCTCACACAATTGAACGAAATGACAATTATTTGTGTGATGCATATGCTAGTAATTCTCCCCCCCGTATCATATCCTTATATGAAATCTTTTATTTAACACTTCTATTGAAGTAACTACTTCTATGAGTTTGGTGTTTATCTTGTTGTGCTAATGAGGTGAAGCAACTTGGACCGATATGTGTATGTGCCTGGTCCTACGTTGTTGCTCACTAACTGTTAGGATATTCACAGGAATATCCCAAAAATTATCTAGAATGTAAAGTGGTATGTTTTCAGACTCTTCACATAATTCGCATGTTATTTCCTATTGGCCATTACTTACAGTTGTCCTAACTATGACTTTCATGTGTCGTTTCCCTATTGGTCAATTTTGAGTTGTCCTAATTATAACCTTTACGTATCCTTCCTTTCCATTGGTTACTGTTAATAGTCATCGTAACTGTATAAATATGCCTTGTCTGTAAACCATTTTTGTTCTGCTGCTGACCCCATAAACAATTCTCATTTAACGGCTGTGTTTTGATTTATTGGAGTTGGGGAACAGTATTGGGGTCGAACTAAGATATCTGAATTTGGCCAATCGGTAGAATTTCGTGTAGTCCTATCGCAATACGTAATATTTGGGCGAATTTATAACACTAACCGACTGACAGTGTAGTGAACAGAACACTAGTTGGGACAATCGAATGTATTTAAGCAAATATTACAGACTATCTCAGTAAATTCTGTTAACCATACAATGGACAGTTAATTTGCAAATTAACAAACAATAGTGTCCATCTTCACTGTTTCTTCTTTCAGTCCATTGCTAATGCACTTTCCAAACGATTGCGCTTCATTTCTTTTCTCATCGGTCTTCTGCCAAAATACATTCTATGTCTGACCCACACCATATACTACTTATATGGATATAAGTAGACCACACCATAACAGCATTTCACTACAGCTGGATAGCATGAATGATTCTTATTCAAATACACATGCTATCTATCTTCGTACAAAACTTATCGACTTGATCCGCGGTAGTGAATAACGGAATCAAATAAGCCGAATACGAAAATGATGTTTTGAATACGCATATTTTGTACACTGATTTGAACTGGCAATCGGGGAGATAAAACAAAGAGGGAAGTGCGAAGCAAATTGGAGAGGGCAAACAAGCCAACTAAATTAAATCAGGCGTTAATCAATATTTATAACCAGATAAAAATAATCTACAAACATGTGATGTGCACTCACATACTCTGGTTAACGTTTTTTTAGCGAGTTGATTTTCTACGGGATGGGGTCACTAACCCCATGCCCAACCCTCCTCCTTTACCCGGGCTTGGGACCGGCAGCAACCCCCAGAGGAGCTACAGACGCTCACCTAATAACAATAAGAATGAGCCAATAAGTGACAAGGCCAAAATGTGGTTTAAGAATAAGTAGATTAGCTTGTCCGGAGGTTAGAATAAACCATGTGGGTTTAACATAACACATGACGTTACACTGTAGATGGCGTGGAGTCTCGATTGACTATGATCACCACTACAATAAGATTACGCGCCAGAAAACGACTTGGTTCTTTCGGTAGGTCGAAAGCCAGAAGGCTGCGATTAGTCCAGATAAAGTATATTTATTGGCGATCTCGTGGTATCGAAAGAATACGGAGACTTGCCAAAGAGTACATGCAAAAAGGGCAGAGCGTAAGAATGTCCGAACGAACAAGATGGACAACGGAACGAAAAGTGCTTTTGATACAGTTAAACAAAACGAGTGCAGTAAAACAATCACTGGTATAATTGGTTATAATAATAATTGTCTCCATTATACCAATCGCTTTATCATCAAGAAAAGTAGGTCACTACAAAACTATCCCCACCATGCCTCTTGTTTGCCGATGTTTGAATATATTTATCTCTGGTAAAAGGTCTTTTACTTAGTTTTTGTCACCGTCTTAAGCACTGATCGTATTACAGCTACTACAAGTGGATGTTGCAGAAATAGAATTATCACATGTATTATCTGAGTCATTGACAACACAGCTATTTGTAGTCCGATAACAATCAACATATTTGAGTTCGTTTTTAGCCAAGAGAATCTTTCTGTGATCAGTCTCACAGCGGATCCCTGAATGAGATAATGAGTGGAAACAACCGAAAACCTTCTTCTTGTACATTGGTGGCACGAATGACCTGTGTGTTAGTACAACCAAACAATAATTTCCGTTTTTTACCATTAATACAGAGAAACAGTAGATATTGAGTATAAATGTGGTTACATAGGAAGTGTTATACATAAAGAAAAATGTGGTCTTTATTTCGCCGTTACAAAAATCATTGAATGTACATGTCACTATACCTTCTAGCCCATCATCAAGGAGGAAAAACCTATATTTACACAGTCCTTATAACTTCTTAAAGTTGTTGACCACAGTATGAGCTCAAAATGGTGAAGCAGAAAGAACAGTGCATCCTCAAATTCCCTAATAAGTATAGAAAATTCATGTGACAAGTCATTTTGTTATTGGAGCGAAATGCAACGCTAGTTTATTCATATATTTTAATCTCTAAAATATCTCTAAAGAAGACAGATGTTAATTACCGAAGTATTCTATCTTAAAAATATAAATTAGCAAATCAGACCACTTTGAGCTATCGAAAATATGTACACTCCATTAAATATTCCTTTTCGTTATAAGCTGTGGGTTTAAATTTTATAGAACTTTTGGTTAAATTCGACAAATATTAAAATTAATATGACTGTAAAAGGTATACGTACATAAATTAACTAAATTCAATGGGATAGTGATTCAATTTCATCAGAAATCGATTACCAAATCAGTAAACAATCGCGTACTCATTAGCATATTATATATAGTTATGCAATTGATTTCATTCTAGACATTAACACATAAATTGCCTTTATTGATCTAATATTTTCATAGAAATATTCATGTATATTAGAGTACAGCCTAATGAAGAATTGATTGGAAATAGTATTGTCCGCTTATATATTGTTCTATCACAGGTTTTTCAACTAATTAACAATATTTTAACAACCACCAATTATTACACATCGATTATTCACACTACAATTTAATGTTTCTCACTAACGTTGAGATGTGAATGGTTATCATTCTACCATATGGGTTTATTTTGATTAATTGCAACGGTTATACCCGTACCAGCATCATTATAAGCTACTCGTTTAGTACACCAAGAAGATGGTACTTACTATCCTAACCACTCAATATTATGGAAGAATAATGTTCTTTGAGAACATTGTCGTTCTAGAAAATATCTCTAGCGCCGAATTGGGGTTATCTGTGATTTTTCAAAATCATTGCTAACTTTGTCACTATAAATCGAATCCTATCACATTTTGATTACAAAATTAAATAATCTTACAATTGAAAATCCTGTTATCCGAGCTTAAGGCAAAGTCACGCGAGTAATGTGAGCCACCGATTAATTCTAACCTCAAGTTATAAAATCCATCTTTGAAAATGCCGCGTCAGATGGAAACATTTACATTTCATGTTAGAAATATAAGTCTGTCTATCTAGTATCTTTTTATTCAGCAGAGAGAATATTGAGTTATTGCACAATAGTTGAAGAATGTCTCTTGTAGAAATGAAGTATCTTCATTTAGGAAATATTGAATCCATAAAACAATATAAACAGATCAATTACAAATTTGTTGTGCCATGTTTGGAAAGTGTTCATATACCAATCCAAAACCAGAGGACAGAATATTACTTGACAGCCTGACGGTGTTGAGGTATACTGCTGTGACATAGCAGATCTTCACCAGAAACACACAATAGGTCTAAATCTATCACAGATCTGAAAAAAATTGACTGTCGTTTAGACATCTGTACCCAAAGTCAAGTTTAATACAATGCAACATAATTAAATAAAACTTAAACCAATTAAAAAGGTGAATTTTGCAAGTTTATAAAATACATGATACAAATCTATTAGTGTTAATCTGCTTATTAATTTGGTTATGACCGATTAACAAATACAATATGGTAACTAAACTAGACGGCGTAAGTGTCCAACACCAAGAAAACTTTTCCTTGGATTAATTCTACCTGGCTGTCCTCCACTTTTAGGAACTGTCAAATTTATAAATAAAATACTTGAAAATATACTTGAACATTTTTAACCACCAAACCATTGATAACGACAAAAACAGTGACTAGGTTGAGTGATGTAGTTTGATAATTAGATTTCAGTGAAACTTTGTTTATACTTTTTTGTTTGATACTTTCCGTCCACGTGAATCGTTCCCGAATAGCATACTAAGCAAATTTAAAACTTATGTTGGACCAATAAAAACATTCTTCTATATAGCCTATGAAATAATTCTGTTATTAGGAAAACTGGAAGCAACTTTAAGTAGACTGATGAAAAACTAGTTTCTGACAATGTCCGTTAGAGTACCTGAAACAAGGAGTGGACCCATTCCATTTGTTCCGTGCCAAACCAAATAGTATTGCAGTTGCGTGCGATAAATGTATTTTCTCGAGAACAAACATCATAAGATGTTCAGTTAATTCGCTTAAACCTGTGAATTTTTCGGTACACTCTTCTAACGAAACTATGTCATATTTATTGAGTAAATAGATCCACAAATCATAAACATTAACGACCACTAAGTGACACAAGTAATAAAAGCTATGCTTACTCAGCCTCGAAATATTTTGACATACATGGCTTGCGTAGACCACCAATATCCTTTGATAAAAGCGGTGTAACTGTTTTCATAATGGTCACATCAGTTGGTTCATCAGCAGACAAGTAATTTTCATCTGTATTATCGACAAGCACAAACTGAATTTGTCTAAAAATGTACAAAGTTAACATGGCCATAAATAAAATTATATAAAGTCTACCTGTCAAGCTTTTCCTCCCAAGATAATAGTTTTGATTTTCTCTTCTTATATTTCATCTCAGTTCTAGTATCAAATAAATACTGTCCGTAGTCTAACTGGATAGAAATTTGTTCAATTTATACACAAAGTTTATTATATGAATCAAGAAAAAAAGATAACAGACATGGAAAGTTAGACACGTAACTAGCCTCGTGAAATTATTTCTTTGCTTGTTAGAGTAGCATTGAAAGCAAGTTACGTTTGACTACCAATCACTTGTTCCAAACCACTCAGATTTAAAAACTGACATCTTATTGAGTACGTAACTCACTGTACCTCTAATAACCCAAATATTGACACTACATTTTCTTACATATGCAAAAATAGCCAACAATAATGATACCTGTGTCGTTTAACACTTTTTCTTATTGATTCTTATCCTAATCGTTTTAAATAATTCCCATATACCTGTCATAACCAGCAAAACACAAATGAGAGCAGTCTGAACTATATGAGACGACAATGCGGGAAAATATCAAGAATGATTGTTTGAATGGTATACAGAATAGTATATACGCCGGTGAAATGCAAAAATGCACCGGTAAATAAGTACCCTTATTTCTGTGTCATTTGAAGATAAAAATAAAGTTACAATGACTTGGGATGACACAAATTTGTGTCAGGCACTACGTCAATGATGACTGACCAACTTCAAAAAGAATTCCGAAGGTTAAATCAAAGTGAAGAAAAACAAGCATAAGTTATACTTAGTAAACCAATATAGCATACTACACTGTGATAATACCACATAAATATACTTATTTTTTTGTACACCTATGAAATCATTAGCCAAAAACTATATAATTCCTTTAAAATACCTAAATAAGCACAATAGACCGGGGATAATTTACTCAGTGAGAATGTTGTTCGAAAACAAGATTACTTTTTTAAAATTCTCCAGGATTTTTAAATCTCTTGAAATCCAGATTCTCTGGAAACACCAAATCTTGACTGAACATGTTATCAACAAGAAATAAACGAGACAATTGGATTGTAGACTCAACCCTTGAATGCAGCACACCATCTATTTGTACTAACCTAATGATAGTTCTACGAACAAACAACGGCAAAGCTTTTCATCACTTTAATATACATTGAAATCGACAGAACGCTTGTTAGTCCGTCAGCTATAAACAACGTAAAACCTAGCACAAACACCATCAGCTGGCTTCACAAGTGCTCACAGACCTAACTGTAAGTTTTTAAGTCAGCAAACATTATTGTTATACTATTGGTACGTAATCAGCCTTTCACGTGGCATTATGGATTCATATGTCGCATGACTGCTATGATGTAGGGCATTCATCTGACTACTATAAGCAATTTGGCTGTTTGGATACTGCGTTTGTAATACACAAGAGTAATTTTTTCTTTCTGTAGAACATTGTGAATGGAAGTTCAACATCAACCTGATGTACTTAACCGGAACACATGAGCTATTGTTAAGAATTGAAAGTTATTTATCAAAGGATAATTTGTACATTTTTTAAACTTTAATAAACATTTTCATTTGCAATGCATCAGTCATTTAGTTACGGGGATGTTTATCTATCGCGACAGACCGGTTTTTGTTACCAAGTATGGTTTAATTGCTTTAGGGCTGCGTTCACTTTGAGAAGTTAACTGAAAAAATTAAATAGACGCGTAGAGGCTTTTGGGTAAGTGTTATTAAGTTGATAGGCTTTTTGTACAATCGGTGATCGTGGGGTTTCTTCGAATTCAGTATTGCGGATAACCCGGAATCGTGCAGAATGTCCCCAAAATGCGAAAAAATATCGCGGTTTGATCAGAAAAGGAGATGGGTCTCCCCAAAATTGTCGGAAATTTCGGGTAAATATTGGGGTATCCCCCGAATCTCCAGAGGTTTTGGGAGTTTTATCAATAAATATAGACGGATTTCCTTAAGGTGTTATAATATTCTGGGGAAGTATTGAAGTAATACCAAAAATTCAGATTTCCCCAGATCTAGGAAATCGATGAGGATTTTGTGCCATTTTTCGAACATTTCCTATAGCGTCTACCTCAACATTTTCCAGAAAAAAATTTTCCCCCAAAATAAGGAGATTGGGAAACACGAAGAGATGAGACAAAGGCCCTTCTAGCGTATGTGATGCACTCACATTTATTATTTAAAGCAATAGGCAACAATCAGCAGTATCACAAACCTCAGATTAAGGCAACTTTTGAACCTGAACCAAGAGCCGTCAGTTAATCGGATACAACAAATTCTAGTTGAAATTTGCGCACATCCTTAACGATTGAGGTTTGTAAGGATTTGAGTGGTTGTCAGTTCCATCCGACCTTCCATCTGCACGGGGTCAGATCGTTGTTAATTAAGCCTTTATGTAAATAGTTATTACCATTATTGTTCATGATTGCGTGAAATAATTTGACACTGTTGAGTTAAAACTCATTAATTAGTTACTACGTGGTTGCTCCGTTATATATTAATATATAGCTGTGGTTGTGTCACATTGCGTGGACATTCAGGAGTGAATACTGTAGAAGCTGACATCGGATCGCTGATAGAACCCTATACATGCACTGGGATTATCTGTTTTCTCACTAATCTAGACTTACGTACTTGCGCTTGTTACTCCCAGTGGAGCATAGGCCACGACCAGAATTCTTCAAACCACCCTGTCCTGGGCCTTCTTTTCTAGTTCTATCCAATTTTTGTTCATTCTTCTCATGTCTGTCTCCATTTCTCGGCGTAATGTGTTCTTTGGTCTTCCTCTTCTTCTTTGACCTTCAGGATTCCATCTGAATCGTCCAGCTGCATCCTAACTCTCCATTATATCACATGCTTCCCTCCAGATGTTGACGTCTTCATGAACCAGTCGATCACCAGGAGAAAGAGAAAGGCTGAGAGTAAGTAACCTTACCTAACACCGGTCTTTACTTCAAACGAGTCGGCGAGCTGTCCTCCGTGGACGATTTGGCAGTTTAGTCCATCATAGGAGTTCCGCATGATATTGACTATTTTCTCAGGCACGCCATGGTGTCGAAGAAGCCTCCATAGTTTCGTCATGTCCATGCTTTCTTGCAGTGAATGAAGTCGATGTATAGTGATCAATTCCATTCAATTGATTGTTCGACAATGATTTGTAGTGTTACGATTTGGTCAGTACACGATCGATCCTTAAGGAACCCAGCCCGTTAATCTCGAAGTTGGGCGTCCACGGAATCTTTCATTCTGTTTAGCAATACCCCGCTGAAGACTTTTCAAGGTATTGAGAGAAGACTGATGCCTCTGGGTGCTACGTTGATGTTGGATGGGTTCAGTGGAGCTGGTCGATTAAAGAGTTCATCGAAGTGTTCTAACCAGCTGTTTCGTTGTTCTTCGGTGCTGAAGATAACCTTGCCTTCATTGCTTCTCACTCGTTGTTCTGGTTTACGGTAACTTACAGCGATTAACTCGTTATGTCATAAAGTAGTCTCATGTTTCCTTCTCATGCGATCTTTTCAAACGTCATTGCTAGGTCTTCCACATTTTACGCTTGTCGGTTCTGATGGTCCTCTTCACTTGCTTGTTTACTTCTACGTAGTTGGCTGATTACCTACAGATTTCCGGGTTGGTGATACGACTACGACGGAGTGGTGTTCGGCGGTGATGGTAAAGGAGGCGGGCGGGTGGGAGCGTCGTGGGTTTGTGTTTGAGGCTGAGTGGTTGGGGGTGGAAGTGGAACTAATCGACTCCTAAAATTTGTGACTAGTGGTATCATGTGTAATGGTAGTGTTTTAATGTGTTTTGTCACCTTTGCTTAATAGTTGATAATTTTGTGTGTTTTACTTCCTCTTCTTCTTCCTCCTCCTCTATCTATCTGTGTTACTCGCTATTTACCTATAGATGATAATATTGGACAGGTTGGGTGGTCGTCATCTGCTACTATTACTTCCGTTAATTCTACTATCTCACTCATCAGCACTTACTGTAAGCGGATTGCCGAATTGTTGAATGACTCAAGTCTCTATTGTCCAACGTGAACAATCTTCTATTACGTTTGGTTTATAGTGGTTGTTTTATTGGCAAGATGAGTGTTTTTGTTCAACTTCTAGTGTCTCTTCCACCTTGACAACTGTGTGGGTCAATGCAATAATCACAATAATAGTAACTGTAATAAACGGAAATGAAGACTGATCTGATCTAATTTTATTGTTTCAGTAAGAGGAGAGTAGTGAAGACAGAAGATAGTTTGTGTTTTGCGAGTATGATAGTGTCACAATTATTATTAGAAATGGTGAAATATTTTGCACACAGTACTTATTTATTGCTGTTGTTTGAAGGTGATAAATAAATGGAGATCTGGTTAACTAACCGTTGACTTCAATGAGAGAAGACTTATGGTCATTTCGATTGTTTGGTACAATGTGATTTTTTGGGATGAAGCAGTTTGGTAAAAATGAATGTTATACTGGTATAGCAGTTTTATCCATTGGTAGCTTTGGTTATCTGACTGATAGGTCTTGTTATTTCAACGGAATGAATTATGACCAGAACTAACGTGACGTCTCAATGATTTTTAAAATCCATGTTAAATGACTTTTGCAATTGCATGCTTTTTATTAACCTACCTATGAACATACTACTTACTTGATTACCTATGAAACATGTACATATAGAAGTAACGTGAGTTGACACACGATTGGTTTCGATTGACAAACAAACAAACAAACTAACTAACTGCATAATTTTCTACATTTGTTTACATAATTTTGACTGTTTCTTACTTACTTACTTACTTACGCCTGCTACTCCCAATGGAGCATAGGCCGCTGACCAGCTTTCTCCAACCCACTCTGTCCTGGGCCTTCTTTTCTAGTTCTATCCATTTTTTGTTCATTCTTCTCGTGTCTGTCTCTATTTCTCGGCGTAATGTGTTCTTTGGCCTTCCTCTTCTCCTTTGACCTCCAGGATTCCATGTGAGGGCTTGTCTTGTGACACAATTAGGTGATTTCCTCAAAGTGTGCCCAATCCACTTCCAGCGTTTCCTCCTGATTTCTTCCTCCGCTGGATGGAATCTTGTTTGTTCTCTCCCACAGTTACTTGTTGCTGATAGTGTCTGGCCATCGGATCCGAAGTATTTTGCGTAGACAGCTGTTAATAAACACTTGTATCTTCTGGATGATGGCTTTCGTACTCCTTCACGTTTCCGCCCCATACAGTAGAACTGTCTTGACATTTGTATTGAAAATTCTAACCTTGGTGTTGGTTGACAATTGTTTTGAGCTCCAGATATTCTTCAGTTGTAAGTATGCTGCTCTTGCTTTGCCGATCCTCGCCCTCACATCTGCATCTGATCCACCGTGTTCATCAATGATGCTGCCCAGATATGTAAAGGTTTCCACATCCTCCAAAGCTTCTCCGTCAAGTGTAATTTGATTGGTGCATATTGTGTTGTATCGGAGAGTCTTGCTTTTCCCTTTGTTTATATTGAGACCTACTGCTGCTGGGGCTGCTGCTACATTGGTCGTCTTCTCCTGCATTGGTTGTTGTGTTTGTAATAGAAGAGCCAGATCATCCGCGAAGTCTATATCGTCAAGCTGCATCCTGTCTGTCCATTGTATCCCGTGCTTTCCTCCAGTCGTTGACGTCTTCATAATCCAGTCGACTACCAGGAGAAAGAGAAACGGTGAGAGTAAGCAACCTTGCCTTACACCAGTCTTTACTTGAAACGAGTCGGTGAGTTGTCATCCGTGGACGATTTGGCAGTTTAGTCCATCATAGGTGTTTCGTATGATATTTACTATCTTCTCAAGCACGCCATGGTGTCGAAGAAGCCTCCATAGTGTCGCCCTGTCCACGTTATCAAATGCCTTCTCGTAGTCGATGAAGTTAATGTAGAGTGATGAATTCCATCCGATTGATTGTTCCACAATGATACGTAGAGTTGCGATTTGATCTGTGCACGATCTATCCTTACGAAATCCAGCCTGTTGATCTCGAAGTTGGGCGTCCACGGAATCCTTCATCCTGTTTAACAATACTCGGTTGAAGACTTTCCCTGGTATTGAGAGAAGAGTGATGCCCCTGTAGTTGTCGCACTTGCTCAGATCGCCTTTCTTTGGTATCTTGATCTGAAGTCCTTTTTTCCAGTCTTCTGGTACTTGTTCTTCATCCCAAATCTTACTGAAGAGGATGTGTAGTATCTTGGCAGTTGCTGCTACATTTGCCTTCAGTGCCTCTGCCGGGATGTTGTCTGGTCCCGCTGCTTTGCCACTCTTGACTTGTCTAATGGCCATGCTGATCTCCTCAATTGTTGGTGGGCCAACATCGATTGGGAGGTCCGTGGGTGCTGCTTCGGTGTTGGGTGGGTTCAGTGGAGCTGGTCGATTTAAGAGTTCTTTAAAGTGTTCTACATACCTGTTTCGTTGTTCTTCAATGTCGGTGATTACTTTGCCTTACTTGCATTTCACTGGTCCTTCTGGCTTACGGTAATTTCCAGCAAGTTTTTTTGTTGTATCATACAGTTGTCTCATGTTTCCCTCTCTTGCAGCCTTTTCCGCTGTCATCGCTAAATCTTCCACATATTTACGTTTGTCGGTTCTGATGCTCCTCTTCACTTGCTTGTTTGCCTCTTTGTACTCAGCTTGTGCCTTGGCATTTTCCGCTCTTGTTCGGCTGATATTGATTGCTGCCTTCTTGTTCCTCCTTTCTTCAATTTTATCCAGTGTACCAACAGTGATCCATTCCTTGTGATGGTGCTTCTTGTGGCCCAGAACGTCCTGGCATGTTGAAACGAATGCCTCCTTGATTTCTTTTCAGTTGCTCTCCATGGTAGTTCCCTCTTCATTGAGTAGATCATGAAAGGCCTGGAACCTGTTGCTGAGGGCTATGTTGAATTTGTTGAGTTTGTCAGCATCTCGAAGAAAGGCCGTGTTAAACTTTTGTGATGTTGTCCGCGCCGTTGTCCACTGCTTCTTAAATTTTAATTTCATCTTGGCGACCAGCAAATGGTGATCGGATGCTATATCAGCTCCTCTTCTGGTTCTCACATCCTCCATCGTCCTCCTGAACTTTTTGTTGATGCAGACATGGTCGATTTGATTTTGTGTAGTGTGATCCGGTGAAATCCAAGTGGCTTTGTGTATGTTTTTGTGTGGGAATATGGTGCCACCTATGACCAGTTTATTGAAGGCACATAGGTTTGAAAATCTCTCACCATTTTTGCTCCTTCCTCCCAGTCCATGTTGTCCCATGACGTCTTCGTATCCAGTGTTGTCCATTCCAACCTTGGCATTGAAATCTCCCATCAGAATGGTCAGGTCCTTGGTTGGGCTCTTCTCGACGATTGACTGCAGCCTATCGTAGAATTGGTCTTAAGTGTCTTCATCGTAGTCGTTGGTAGGCGTATAGCATTGAATGACGTTCATTGTAATGCCCTCTCTCTTTGTTCTGAAGGAGGCTTTGATGATCCTTGGTCCATGAGATTCCCATCCAATAAGTGCATTTTGTGCTTTTCTGGACAGCATCAATGCAACTCCTTGTGTATGTGGGGCATTTTCTACTTCATGACCGGAGTATAACAGAAGTTCTCCTGAAGACAGTCGTTGTTGTCCAACCTGCGTCCAATGTGTTTCGCTGATTCCAAGAACCTCCAGGTTGTATTTTCTCATTTCTACAGCAATTTGGAAGACTCTTCCGGTCTCCCACATTGTTCGGACATTCCATGTACCTATAAAAATTGTCGCTCTGGTTGTAAGAAGGTGCATCGGCCTCATGAATTCCGAAGGAACTCGGCTTTCATCATGAGACGTCATAATTATTCCTTCTACTCCCAGGGCAGAGTTTGAAAGGTTTGAATGATTTTTTCTGGTAAGCGTTTTTTCAGCGAGTTGATTTTCTACGGGATGGGGTCGCTAACCCCATGCCCAACCCTCCTCCTTTACCCGGGCTTTTGGATGAACATTAACAATTGAAATCACGAAGTTCAGCGAAGGGATTCATCATTGAATTCATTATCAAGCTGTACAATCGTATATATATGAAATCTTTTCTGGTAAAGTACTAATTGAGGGAGGAAGTGTGAACACGAAAAACGAAGATGACGGAATGGAAAGATTATGTTGCTAGTCACACAATTCCAGTAATAACAGTGGATTTAGTGAATATAATAAGATGAATAAAATGTATTTGTTACAATAATTAAAGGTTATCAAAGGTCATATAGGTGTAAAAATAAATAAGGTAATATGATGAGTATTCGTGAATATAATAATAAAGATATAAGACAATAGTAAAAAGGAATGCAGTAGTAATTATGATATTAATTAAGGCCACGGTAACGATAACGATAAGACGTACTCCTTTTAACCCAGCCTGTAACCCTGGGGGGGCTACTGCCGGTCCTTGGCCCAGATAGGGGAGGAGGGTTGGGCATGGCTTTAGAGACTCTATCCCGTAGAACGCTGACTCGCTAAAATACGCTAACCAGGAAAAATAATTCAAACCACCAATCTAGAAACTAGGAAAAATATGATGTATGTAAATTGTGACATGTATAGTCACTGATTTTTGTAACGACAATATAAACATCACGTATTTTTCCTATTTGTCACGCTTCATATTCAATATCTGTTGTTTCTTTGCATCAATGGTAAAGAAAGGTATATAATTGTTCGGTTATATCTAACATACACTACCACGATTGTTGAAAATAATAAACGCTACTTCTGCCGTATGTTCTTTTGCTTTATTGGTTATGGCCTTTGATTGAAGATTATATTAGTGTTATAACATCCTTTTAGGCCTCCACACACTGTGTTGGAGTTTTGGACAGGATCATGAACAAATAATGCCATCGGTTTTAATCTTTCTCATTACGCTGTTGGTGCCACTACGTGCAGATGAACCTTCGTTAATCAAGTGAACTCATTTTTGGTTGTTATCTCAGAGAGCAGCTTGCAAGTAACATTCATTTCATAACAACTGTTATCATTCTGTTGTTTAATATAATATATCGCAACTGTAATTTGTTACCTTTTTGCGTTACTTCCTTATTTTATACAGGTATTATATTTCCGATTACCTTACGTTGGATGTTGAAAGGTTTTGTGTGTTTCAACAGGTAATCTTGCGCCCCATTGTCTAGGTAACGACCTATCCACTCCTGGTCTGGTTTCTTCGAATTATAGGACGAGGTATATATATCACCACGAAACTGCTTCTGGCAATCGTGTTAAACAGTCTACACAAGTTAAGAGATCAGTATGCCTACTTGCATCTGGCAGGAATCCTACCAAGTCAAGATTAACGTAGTTGGAACAAACATCGGGAGTTTTGAATGAGCATAAGAGATATTTGTTGTATCTGATCACCTTAGATTTCTGGCAGCTTACACAAGAATGTACCCACTTCCTCACGTCTTTATTCATACCAGGCCAGCAAAACCGTTCGGCTATAAGCTTGGTGGTTGCACTAACACCTGGATGAGTAAGATTGTGCAACGTATTGAAGACGTTGCGTCGATAATGTTTCGGCACGATTGGACGATCTCTACCTGTAGATGTGTCATATAGCCAAGTTACTTACTTGTTTCCGTATGTTCAATATTCAGTTTAAGGGTTGTCGAAGATAACTCGTGCTGAAGGTCAGTGTCTTCTTTTTGAAGCTGAGCGAGTTTAAGAAGGTTGATTCCTTGGAAACTGCTCAGGGAAGTCATACGAAGCGAGGCTTTTGTATCTACATTGTTTGCTCTAGAAATGTGTTGTATATCTGAGACAAACTGCGAAATTTAGTTCAGTTGTCGAGACTCACGAGGTGAGTACTTGTCTGAAGATAAGCTTAAAGAGAAAGTAAGAGGTATATGACCAGTAAAAGGGATGAATTCTCGGCCTTCCACAGATTGTTGAAAGTGGCGTATAGCACAACATATAGCTAAGAGTTCCCTGCCAAAAGTTCTGCACTTCAATTCAGTGTCCAGCAACCGTGAAGAATGCCAATGGTGTGATTAACCCATTGTTGTAAGACTCCTCCAATTGCTGAGAGCATATTTACTTTGAGGATAAGTCCCTTAACTACAGAGGACGCTTTTTCGCGTTTTAGTACAAGTTTATGAGCTTCAAATTTCACGAAGTTGGTCGATTCAGGGTCCCACGAGAGACGCACACTTCGGTTTGAACGGTCGATGAAAACGTACAAGGCCGCTGAACGTGTGTAGTTGCCTGATTGTGATCGGTTCTGGGTAATATGGATTGGCTGCCACCTGGCTTTTTAGAGGTCGGATGTCTTGAGCATCAACAGTATGTCTGAAAAAATCGAGGAATTCGTTTTCGATCTGACATCTCTGAATGTTTACAATAATGCCGTCTTTTCAAAGTCGCTCGAAAACAAGGTCCAGTACTGGAGATGAGATTCTCTGTCCGGAAACGAGGTCAAGCAGTCATCTACATGTGTATGTACGAAGCTGAAACTTCGAAAAACGTCATCGATGAATATCTGAAAGGTTTGTGCAGCATTTTCTAAGCAGAAGGGAATTCACAAAAATTTACAGGGTCTGAAAGGTGTGATGATAGCGGTTTTAAGAATCTCGTCTGAAGCCATGGGGATTCGATTATATGTTCTGACCGAATGGATTTTCAAAAAACAGTTTCTCATTTATAAGAACTCTCGTCTAAATTAGAATGAATAGTTTCACAGTATTTGAGCGCCGAGTTGAAGTAAGACATTTCTCATTTAATCACCGAAGTTACCAGTTGAACGCCAATCATTGATGCCCATTTTAGGGATCATATTAAACGGACATGTCCGTGAGCTGTTGGGTGGCTGAATCATTACTCAATTTATCATATGGTCGAATTCGTTTGTAGCTATCCTTAGCTTACCAGGAACTAGTCAGCGTGCTTATGATTCAATATGTAAAAATGAAAGTTGAAATAAAAGATACATAATGTTCAAACAAGGAACAGACTCGCACTTTATAAATTAGTGTGCAGATCACGTCAGGTTTACCATTACAGTGCCCTAACACAGTAACACTTCTTATAATCGAAACATACCAACTCAGGCAATTCTGAAGTCAGGAGAAAAGAGGTTCGAAGACATAATTGATAGGCTAACGGTATATCGAGAATTGATTAATCTAAGCTGGCTAGCGGTTGTAGATGTGTAGCATGGCGCAACCACTCGTGATCTGGTGGGGATGCGTAACTGAGTGCTTTCAGCTAAGTAAGTCCAGTAAACTAATGTGGTGGGTATCAAATATCAAAGACTTACAGAGCTATTGATTTTGAGGATTTGTTTACCTCTACAGACTATAGCATTCGTTGACTCGAAAAAAAAGCCGGGAGGGAGTGGCAGTGGTTGGGAGGAAGTGGAGGATGATGAACGTGTGATTATCGTAGTGACTATTGAGAGGAGAAGCATCCAACTTGTTTGTCTAAGGACAGCTACCATCAATGATCAAATGTCTTCATCCCGTTGAAGATACGACCAGTATTCTAATTTTACAACTATTAATCAGTAACACCCTCTATATTCGAATCGTTCCTCACTGGGTTAAAATCAGAAGTCAGATGCGAAGAGATCGGAAGGATATATTGTTATATTTAGAGCTTTAGTTCTTACTATGCCGCGTATTACTAGACTACTTGAACGATAGAACCCGCAACGTCGCAAGAGAGAAGTCAGAAGACTAGTAAGTAGGAAATTTATTCCCCAAATCAGTGTCAAAATATAGTACAGAAATCTCATGTATTTATAGTTACTGGCTGAATGTAAATCATCATTTCGGTCAACCAATAGGCACATAGGGGCCATTCTTATCCATCCAATGGGGGAGCTACACGTCGACATTCTAGAATATTCCCCTAGCAGTGATTGGATGGAATATGTCCGGGTCTTTCTGGGCTTCTTAGGGCTTCCTAGAGTTTACCAACGGGCCATCCTTACATATATTTGATGCGTTATCAATATATCGAGAAGCGTTTGCTCTAATCTCGCTAATGAACGCAGGAGCTGTTTCCCACGCTGACTCGTAACGCTATCTGATACAGACGCATGACCGAAAGCCTTCAGTTAAACAAGTCCACTCAAAACAATGTGGTCAGCATCCAATGTCGAACACTTAATGAGCTATTGATTTTGGCGAATTATTTACAACTACACCGTATTGAATATTCAAACTACCTAAGTCAAGAACAATGCCAGATATATACAAAGCTACTTTGCGCTTATTTACTACTACTATACCGTTATTTTTTGGCCACAGGGCATGAATGTACAAATGCCGAGTGGTATATTGATAAAGAGCCTAAAGTCTTGGAATATTACTTTGGTTTCACTCAGCAAAACGTCCTAATTCCACTTTTATGTCGCTGCAACTTATCACTAAAACAGATTTCTGTTTTTTAGGTGCTTAATTTATATGAAATTTTCTGTCATTAATCTGCCAGCAAAATATACCTCTCTGTTAGGCATAAATACTACAGATGTTGCCCCACAAAATATTGTATATTGAGCGTTTATTACAAGTTAGGTGTACTTTACAAGGTCGTCTCTTTTACAGTATTTTGCAAGGTTTTTGAGTATTAGGTAGCAAGTGTTTGTGTACTGGTAGCAGTTTTCACATGAATTATGGGTCAGTTAGACCAGGTATCACTGTCAAGCTTGGCAAGGTAAGAATTTATTATACTAGTTGTTAACTGATGATATGATTGTCTAGAAACTAGAACTGTCGTATCATGTACATGATACGACAGTTCTACACGTATGGGAAACTATAGTGCTACTTGCAAGCTGCATGACACTCATTAACTAATCCAATAAGTTTCTGTGCAGTAGTCCGGTTGATGTTTTTGCCCTATAATTCTGTTTCAATCAAGACTTATAATTACGAGTTAATACTTTTCTACCTTAACTTCCAACCACTCATACAAACACCGCGTTTCCTTATAGCCCTTACTAAATAGGAAGAAATCATGTTAGCGTTATTTGGAGGTGTTTCTGTCTACTTGATTTTATTTGAGACAGTTGTTCATTGGTTAACACCGTTCGACTGTCGATTGATACAGGTCTGGTTCAGATTCCGGGGTGAAGTAGATTTTCCTATATACCCCAACTTATGATAGACTAAGTTCTTAATTGAAAGTTTTCATCAAATCGATTTCAGTGGTAGCCTACACAAGGCGCATATGTGACGCATATGTATCTGGTGCCCTTTTGTAACAATATGTGTTTAAATAAATAGAAATAATAAATAAAATACACAAGGCAGAGATTGTAGCTTCACATAAAGGCCTAAGTGATCGATAAGTCGTGTCATCTTCGTTACTTCCATTCATAGTTTTTATCGGTTCAGCTTATGTTTAATTCTCTAAGTGAAATATATTCTGTTTCTTATTATAGCGGATTATTGATCCAAGGCACTACAAAATTTTGCACGGTGTACCCGTCGGAATAGAAGCTACAGAATACTTACAGTTCAGTGTTGATGATCTCGGTAAGATTAATTTAATCTTTCCTAATTTTTTGATATAAATGGTGCTGAGGTTTATAGTTTCATATTATTGCCGGACTGTTTTTCTTGCCGTGATCAAACAGGTATAGAATTATGTCAGAATGGATTGTTTTTAAAGAGCTTTTGCTTTTAACTAACCAGTATTCACTCTTCGCACTTCTAATGTTGGGTGCCGTTGATTTTTTTTCAGACCTCAGAGTTATTTTTTTATTTTTCCGGCTTTCTTCAAAAGTAATAGCTCTCGAAATGCCTAGGCAGATATTACTTTACTATCATCCTGCTGCATTCACTGTCGGTTTGGTCGTAGGAAATATACAAGCCTTTGGTTTTCTCTTTTTATAAAACTAAATACATTACTTTACGGTCTCATCAAGAGTAAATCCTGTTGAAGTGTGAAGGTTTAACCTGAAAAAGTTACCTGAGGTCTTTTCCATCTCATAGGTTTTCATCGAATAAACACAGCACTATCCAAGTCTATGCAGGTTTTATTTAGTTTATCATCTAACTTATGGGCAGCGAAGGAAACATTTTGTAAAGCTGCAGCTTTGGTGATACTTCGCTGAAACCCAATGTGAAAGAGACTCAATCAAATTACTTTTGTTCTGTTATATTATTGTGACGACAATTTCATTGGTTTCTTAGGAATACCCTCCTGTAGAAAAAGTCACCCTAAAAATATAAGACTAGTTTGTTATAGTTCTAAAATTGTACCATGATTTAGAAGTGGACTACATTTTATCTTGAACTATATAAAATTGAAATTAAAAGGTGAGTTTTTATCTACTTGTAAAAAATTAAGATTATTGTGATGTGTACTGAGTATCCAAAGTTCGACCTCGATTAATTCTTGATACGACGTAACTCAGCTGCTGTTTTTGTTATTGTCATCGTCAAATAAACTTAATGTTTTAAAGGGAGATAGTGCAAACTAACCAAAAAATAAAACAAGCATTTTATAATCTGAAAAATAGCTTTTTTATACATATACGAACACAACTCGGCGATGAAGTATCAATAATTTGTTCTTCGAACTGGTCGATGTGAACAACTAGATACTAATTTGATTAAGATAACGTGTGAATCTTGGGTAAGAAAGCAGCATGTGTGGAAAGTTTTTTTTGTAAACTTATAACTCAAATCAGTCCGTATGTATGTATGAATTAAATCGGTCAACAAATAGAGGATGTTTACATACGTGTTCAGACTCAATTAAAGAAATTTGGGGATGCCAGGGAAATCAGGCTATTTTATGATTGCTAACCTAACACTTAAATTACTGGACTACAGCTGTATAGTAGTAACCTCGCATATCACACTTATATTTCACTGTAGTTCTTGGTAATATCAACAGTAGGAAAATATGGTCTGTAGACAGTCAAATAATTGACTAATCAACTCAAATGCAATTCAGTTACTAATTACTCCAACGTGATTGAGTCAAATAGTCACTTATAACTTCATCTGTTGATTTCGTCTTGTTTTATCTTTTTCAACGAAACATCTTATCCAGTAACTTCCGATATGTCAACTGCAAGTTCACATGTAATACCCACCCTGAACTCGGGTGGATTTTTGCCACCGAAATTCTACCATGATAAAATTCACCCTTTTCACACTTCTGACGTATATCCCAAAGGTACTTGTCATTTCTGTCTTAATCAAAATATTCAAGCTTGTTGGTTTTATGATCGTTATGCTAATTCGACAAATACAATACAACTTCAATCGTCATGCTGTCATGTGGTTCGTTTAAATGGTCTCATCAGGTCTGTAAGCATGTAAGTTCTTCTCAAGTTATTTTATTCTATACAGCTCTAATTGCTCTGGAAATTTTCTAAAACTTGTCAGTTTTACTTTGCTTTTACAGACACCTATTCTTTCTTAGCACTTGCAACATAATGAAAGACATCTGGGTTGGTTTCGGTATACATTAATCCAAAGGATAATGATTATATTAATATTGTTCGTCGCTAGACAGGATTGTTTGAAGGTTCCCTCTCTCTTTGGGGTAAATCCTTAGACTCTAATAATGTTCTAATTTATGTTTTTCTCCATCTACACCTAAATAAATGCGAAGAACGGGGGCAAAATGTTTTGCATGTTCAGTCCGCAAACGAAATCACCAAGTTCACATGCAAGCAGTAATTAGCTCGGTAGTTAAAAAAGAATAAAAACGTCTTGTTTTAATGTAACATGGAAAACTACTCAAGCTATCAGATGAAAAGGAATTAAAACAGTTACTAATCTTCCACTGAAAGTCACTCATATCCGACAGATCACCGTAGCCTCATCTGAACTAGATATTGCATAAAGATTCCGTTTAATTTAGTTTGGAATACAGAACTCAGTCCGTATTCAAGTTGACAACGTTGATGAAATGATTGTATAGAAAGACGACTGTCAAAGGTGTGGATGGTAAACGTTTGATCAAACTTATGTGGAAGCCAGCGAAACTATGGCCTAAATACCGAATTGCTACTAACCTCTGGGATAAGTTGATCATCTAATAGAATTTGTAAATATGTATCTTTCGGGTCTATTTAAAAAATATTTTGACCCTCATAATTTATATAGAATCTCCTCAGCTTCTTTAGTGATACAACTGTGTTGCAATAGTTGAGTATTCAGTGTCAAGCGGTAATCACATATTCTATGTGTTTTTCTGTCCACCTTTAATAGAGTCACAATGGGAGTACTTCAAATGGACTACTCAAATGGGATTACTATCCCTTTTTCCAGCCAGTTTATCTAGCTCATTCTTCACAGCCTCTCTTAAATCGCATAGAATTAGTCTACACTTCTATAAGATAGGCTCTCCCTTTACTCCGAAGTGTGCTAGGTGAGTTTTCATACATATCACGGTCTTCTAGCGTTGTAAAACCAGATTTTTGGCTAAAATACTGCCAGAAGAACCAGTTCACAGAAAAATGCGTGCGTCCAGCAATCTTAGGTCCTATATCCCTAGCTCAGCTGGGCCATACTCACTAACAAAAAATGGTATATTGACACAACTACCCTCTTTTCTCAACGGAATATTAACTGTACCAATAGTTGGTAACTGGTGGCCAGTGATCCAAGTTATTCCACTACTTGTAAGTTTTAAGTGGAAATCATTATAACAAAGCAACAAATTTCTCTGAGAAATAGTTGACTCTGTGCCATCATTATGAACAATAAACAAATGAGACTTGCCTGTGTTAGCGATTAATTTTCGTATTGCACGTGACGTATTGCTGCAGGCTGTAGTGAGCGGCAGAGAATCCATCCTTTTGTCCAAATCAGCTGATCCAACATCACTTAAGGTTTTATTATTAAATGACTTGGATCTTTTACAAACATTTTGTGTACGTCTAACCTTTCTATATTTATAGCAACGTACATAACGAAACTGACATGAACTACGAAGATATAGTTTACCACATGATTGACAGGGTTCAATACCGAGAGATAAATTCAAAGTGCTTATCTAATCATTCACTTGTCTGAATGGAACTGTTCCTGTCTGAGGTTTCTGTGATTTCAGAGATTTTTCACATTCGATAACAATACATAATGATATTTCGTAACAGCATCACTTGGATCATTATTAACATCTTCATAAGTGAAACAGAAGTCTGGCTGCCTGAAAGGTTCCAAAAAGGATTTGTATAATTTTCTTCTCTAGTTTAGAATTATTTATACTAGCAATCAGACGGTCACGAAACCTGATGTGCAGCTGTTCACTGAAATCGCTCCTAGAAGCTTATGTCTGAAATTGTATTATGAAATTTCTGATAGTCTGATTCGGTGCACGGACTAATTTGTTGAACTGTGCTCTCGTGTATTTCAAATGGTTTGACTTGAAAATGAGCAGTTGATAATCTTTTAAGTTTGTTGAACAGAAGTAGGGTAGGTTTACCAGGATGTACAAGATTCTTTGAAAAACTATGGGCTTCTTTACCAATAACTAATAAAAGGGTGTGAAATGCCATTTTCTTTGAAGTTATTTGACAAACACCAAGCTTCAAAACATTCTAAATAACCCTTCACTTCTCTCAGGGACAAACTGATAGACAATTACCCCAAGTTACTCGAATCCATATGTACTGTGACTCAGAGTGCGAATTTGAAATCAGGTAACGAAATACTACTAATCACGAGTTTAGAACTTCGACAAGACACAAACAAGAACTCGAATTTGAAGTATGCAGTATGAAATTGTATTGTTTTGTTATGATAGATTTAAACATAACATAAAATATGTAATTGTCCAGTAAATTCATCAGTTATCCACCACACTAACGGTCTCGACTTTTTACTATTCCATAGTCATTTGATGCCAAGCTGAAACCAAAGAAAACTGGGTTGGTTTAAGACTTAATGCGTGGTTCATCGATTCGGTCTTCACCTATTACCAAATCTACAAACATTAATACACTGATAGATGTCTCACACTGACCACTCTCTTCGACTAGGTTATCGGTGCAAATGCTTGTATAAAATAATGCCAAAGACAAGATGATTAAGCAGAACAATAGGCCTTTATATCTCATAAAATAACATGTTTCTATACAAGCTCTTAGCACAAAAAGTAAACATTTAGGTGTCATAAGCAATTAGAAGAAATAAATTTGATAGATCATTTACTCTTCAATCAATGAAGATTCTACCGTTAGGTGTAATTTTATCCTACCATATTGCCTTCGTCATAGACAGAGGTATTCTCATGTGTTCGAATCAGGTTACGAATATTTGGTCTGTGTTCGCCTAAATGTAAAAAATACAATAATCGGTCACACCATATTAACTTTTTATTCACCTCTAGAGCTTGATAATTTATTGCTTTCCCTTTATTTGTCTCCTTTTACTCATACCTTTCACTATTCAATATCTCTTATTTATTTTTTGATCTCCCGATTTTTCAGGTATTATTATGAAGTGTTGGGAATTGGACTGATTCCTTTTTATACGATACCTAAATTGTTACATCTCTCTGCTCATTTTTTGTACCTTGGAAATTTGATTGTGTTTAGTGGTAGCCAACAGTTCTATTTCATATTAGACTTTTCAACAAAATATAGCTGTAATTCAGTGAATTTTTGTACTCAAAAGGTCTTACCGACTGACTACTTATCAACTAGAATGTAGAATCTCTATAACCAATCTTGCAACTCTCCATTTAGGTATGAAACCGGTTTGTTGAAAGAATCTAAGAATTCAGCTCAGTAAAATTAAAGAGCCCATGAATGTTTCATTTAGAAAAAAAATTATTTGCACAAAGGTTAGCCAATCTTACTCAGAATCCAATCGGAACAGCTGTTGTATTTTCAAAGGTAAATTAGGTTAAAGTTCAATTCAGTCTCACTGAAATAGTGTGACATAATTGACGAACTTTAATAAACCGATTCATACATTCAGGAATGAACTATCGAAAAATATAAGGAGCTCATATGACAATAACGAGTCCTGTTAAATCTGTTCAATTAACAATCAAACAAAACAACTCTAGCTAATGTGGTCATTTTTTATTCTCTTTTTTCTAATAGGGAGCATTTAAGATGCTTAAAGCAAACTTCTGTAGACTATTCACAGCAAGCAAATCGTCTAAAAAATTCATTTATATCTTGTGATCGGTTAAACACAACACCATTTACAGATGCAAACATTCCAGTTGGATCACGTTCATCCGGAGATGGTCAAACAGAGGATGAAGAGGAATTAAACGCAGTTAATTACCGGATTACTTCTGACATTCAGTCAAAAATCAATTCTACTTATTCAAATTCTTCAAATGAAGTGAACGTTTTGCTAGGTAATGTTAGTATGGATGCGAAGTGTGGTAGAAAACAAAAATGGTATCATATTTCCAGATATTCTAAACAAATAACAAAAATATCGCACTAATGAAAATAACCATTAAGTATTAAGAGACTGAAAAATATGAACATAACAAGAATATAAGAATTACATTAATATTCGTCTACAGTCTACCTTACAGTTGTCAAAAAGATTTCTGGTGCTATATAGCGCCAGTAGACTACGCGTATTCTGATTAACAGTGACTTTTCCAGTATATGTGACGTGTTGCTTTATTACTGACGAATCTACAGTGATAAGATTGAGTAGTGAGTTTTTATAAAAGAAGAGAGTAAACGAAATGATGACTTAGTGTTTACATCGCTCAACTTTCAATCTCTCGGTTAAGGGCTCTGGCTCGAGATTGGTAGGTCCTGGGTTCGAATCTCGCGAGAGCGGGATCGTGGATGCGCACTGTTGAGGAGTCCCACAATAGGACGAAACGGCCGTCCAGTGCTTCCAGGTTTTCCATGGTGGTCTAGCTTCAACTGACTCATGATCTTAACCATAAAATTTCAATCACTAAGTTGAATTTCGAAACCCCACTGCATTTATTTTGGTTTGGGAACCTGGGTAGCATCACTTGGTTTCACTCACATAAAAGGGACAACTCTTAGCCAGTTGTATAAGCCTGATCCTAGTTACCGAGCTGTATTAATTATGAAAATCAAGTTGATAAGGGTTGGAAATCTGAAACAACTGCAATTGTTGATGTATATGCTTCATTTACACACAGTTGCTCACTTCCGATGATAATGCCATGTAAACAGCTCCGAGGTTTAGCAATGTGTGTCAAAAAGTATTGTCATAATTCAGTTGGTGCATTCATTTTAAAACACTGGGTTGTGTGATTCGAACATATCTAAGAAGTCCCATTCCGGGGAGACTTTCACAATGCCTATTATTTACGGACACCAGAATTGGGTAGAAAAAGAGGGAAACCGACCTGTTTACGATGTGGTGCTGATGAATAGAAAAGGGGTTTTAGACCGGTATCTGTCGGCTCATCACTTATTCGTTGTGTTCTTACTGATCATACAAGTAAGCGACGTGTCACTATCAAATATGGTTTCAATCAAAAACCAGTTGGGATCCTTCTATGCATTTTTCTACCACATTCTTCGTAAATGAAAGATGAAACTCTAATTCAAAGAAAAGTGTTGTATTTTTCAATAAACTCCTGCCTTATTGAATAAAATATTTGTTCTTACTTACTTTACTTTACTTACCCCACGTAAAGCATAGACTTGACCTTTTTTATTTCTCCATGATGTTGTTGTTTCATTTTGTGTAGTCCATTTTATTTGTCCATTTATTTATCCATGTAGTTTCACATTATACGATTGATAATCATGTTAATATTTACATTTGATATACTAGAAAATGAGTGTAACTTTTAGTATTCACTTTCTCCACGATTCCACCTTTATTTATTCCATTCGAATCGTTATTTGTTAGAAACGAATTAAATTTTTACTTTAATAAAATAGATAGCCTTAGAGTAACTGAAAAAATCGTAATTTTCTCATTGTATTATTTGCATTACATTAATCTGTTTATTGAATTCTAAGTTCATCACTAATTTATACAAATTATTACTCTTTATTAAATTTCCAAAGGTTCTCATTCCAAATTAGGTTCACCGTCAACTTCTTTTACACACGATCAAATTAATACTAAACATCTACTTCTTCCAGGTCGTTCCTCTTTTGAAAAACATTTAGTTCGAGAAGTAGCGTACTTTGAAATATGTGAATTTTTAATTGAACAAATAGAAGAAATTTATGATATGGAAAATTACGAGCTTTTGAATTCTATGTACAACGAAAAATATAAGGACAAATCTTTACAAATTCTTACTGACCTTCAGGTACAATTATCATTCTGTATTGGTGAATGATTTAATTATTCACAATTACTATGTATGTCATAATTTGTGGTAACTTTATTAAGATAGGGGTGTCTGTTTAATTTGTTAAGTCTGACGTGATTTTCTATCGTATACTAAGTCAATTTTCTCGAGGTAACCAGATTACTATTAGTCTTAATGACCTTGGATCTTGACCACAGAGATTGGAACAACTGCTTGAATTTGGTCACATGCGACCTTTTAGCGAGTAGTCCTTAATGTGTTACTTCCATATTTCGAAGATCTCACCGCCGGCGACGGAAATCCTTGTGGAAAAGGTGACGTGTTATTTCTTGGTCCTAGAGTCCCACAACCCCCTCGTTACTTACTATCACCAGCCTAAAATTTATTAATAGCTATAAAACACTGGATACAGCTTTTTCAGTTTAACGACTCATCAACAGCGCTAATGCTCGAACTTACATGTAATTGAACTCAGAATTTTTAAATCTTATTGCAAAGACATATCTTTCGATCACTAAGTCGGAATGTAGCTGTCCATTCTTCAATCCGTGATATATGACCATCCTCCAATCCTATTAATGACCTTTGATCGATAAATTTCAACTATTTATTGAAGTTGTCAGTTTTTCATGGGATTTGCATTAATTTTACTTTCAAATGCCTTATGCATCGTATGTGTGTCCAGGTAAAACCTTGTTTCGCATACATGTACTACTTTCTTATCTCTCACTACCAAACCAAGAAATTATTGCTAATGAATTTCAGTTTAAACTAGTTGTAAAGATCCAATAGATGTATTTTTATCTAGTTAGGACAGTTTATCTGATGTAATTACTATTTACAATATAACATTGGCAAATGCCTAATCTACACCATCGTATTTTAAATTGTTTATCCTCAGTTGTGTAATAGGCTAGTTATTCACTTCGTAGAATGAGATGAATGTCTTTCTGAAGTAGTAATGGTATTATAAGCCTTTACACACGCTCAAAGTGCGACTGAATACATGAACTTCTATATTTGGTAATTGAGTTCCATAAAATTAAAATAGAATACCTGATCACTATTGTAATTAATACCATATAATATTGAACCAAATATCCATGCAAATTTCTGTTACTTTAAAATTTTTTCCGATTTAACCGCTAATCGAAATTCAACATTTTTTCGTTACTTTTTATTTTCATAATTATGACAACACTTAGTTAATCATAAACCTTCAAATATGTCTAATTTTTCTTGTTTTGTTCTGTATACAAGTTAGTAATAATAATAAATAAATATTTGAATGTGTGTAAACATCCTTTACGTTGAATAAGTTGGATCATTAAAATTTTTTTAAGGTTCGCAAGTCAAATATTTTACCTTCAAGTCTACTCTCGTCACATATGACTTTGGTGGATGTTACTGACCAAAATTTACATAATCCATTGATCAATTCAATATTGCATAGTCAATCTAGAGAAACAGATTACTGCGAGCATTGTGTAGATAGCGCCACTGGACTGGCAGTTTCACTAATTAATACGTGTATACAAGAAACTGCTCAAAACGAAAAACAAGAAGTGATTTTGTTTAAATTTTTAAAACTACAAGAACTACTTCTCACGACTTGTGATATTAACTGGGTTCGTTTAAATCAAAAGTTTATTGAATCGCCGAGACCAACGAGGTTTAATTGTGATACTAAATTTCAAAACTTTTCCAGAAATAATTGGCTATCAAGTACATCTAGTGATTCAATACAACTGGATTCTCAGGGGTAAGTACTTGCTTTTCCATATTGTATTTTGCGAAATTTATTCACCTCTGTGCGTGTTCACTTAGTTAATATTCTAAATTGTGACCCAAAGGTGTCTGATATATATATATATATATATATATATATATATATATATGTACTGAGATGAACTTGGAATAACACCTACCAAATGAATACTATAATATACCATACCAAATTAGAGTGTACTCGCAAATTAACATGATTCAGTTACTAAATTTTATGTATCACCACGTTGCACCGTTCTTACTTGTCTTCAGATATTTTTAGAACAGTTGTTTCAAGGTCTTGCCCACCATCCACCTACTATCCTTAGCCCCCAAATACCCTGGTATGGCCGAGAGTGGGGAGGGCCTGCTCTCTCTCGAAGTGCTCTCACACGGCCACGCGTATATAGCCTCTGTTAGGGAAGTTCTACTCACTGCCTTCTCATGGCGGGAGTGTTGTTTGCGGAATTGAGAGGACGAAAAGCGAATGTCCGGCGCTTTAACCGGGTTAATGGACACGGGAAGTCCACCTAGGGGAGTTGGAAAACCCTGATTCCAAACCAATGGTGCACATGGGCTCCAGTATCCTGAGGGAACAAATGGCGTACGAATCAATCGTTGATCACCAGCTACCATGGGACTGCATCTCCCCACGATGTTCCACTGCCTTGTGGATCAGATCTTTCGGTCAAAGGCTCCGCGTGTGGTCCCCTAAGAAAACCACCTGCTTCAGTCTGAGCACCTGGGCAGTCTCATAGCCCCCACACAATCAAATGAAATGAAAAATTTTTGTGTGGCGCATATATTTCTGGTGCCCCCTTGTACCAGTATTTATGTGTTCAAATAAATAAATAATAATAATAACCATACTTATTATCACTCACCATTACGGCACATTTATTATTTTAAATAAACTTACGTTCCTTCAAAGGTTTGGACTATTCACTTTTTCGAATTATTTAAAAATAGTAATTAAATCCATAAGGTAAAATTTTCTGTGCGATATTACATCTTATAAATGTTCTTTAGACAATTCTAGAAGACTGGAACATGCCTCGAATTGTTCTCAAGCAGTCCATCTCTCTTTTAGAAAATATGGATAACCATTCATTTGTACTATTTCCTAAGACGGTGGTCGGAGGTAGTCAACAGGAAACCCTGGACCTGGGTTTCATGCTACTTGGGACTCGTCAGCAAGGTCCTTCTTAATGTACATCGAATCCAATCCAACTAGACTTAGTGGCCACATTGCAACTTGGTCGATAGGATTCGATCTGCACTAAAAAAGGACCTGACATACATGACATTGATCACCACTCAATGATTAATCAATTGTACGTAATATCTCTTAGTTTGATTGATCAAATACCAAAGTTATTAACTAATATTAGTATATTTTCTAAAAGCCTCTAAAATTCAAAGATTACTCAACTAAATCAACGCTCTTTGACTTCTATAACGCCAAATTAACCCTGAAAGCAAACATGTGACATTCCTGTCTGCCAATCCAAGTAACATGGGTTTTTAATAGCTAATAGGTCAGGTTCCGAAAATTCCCTGATACGGCCGAGCGTGGAGAGAGTTCGTCCTTCCTCTCTAAGCGCTCTCACTTAGCTTAACGTATACAGACACTGCCAGGGAAGTTTTACTTCTTCAACATAAAGAATTCTTCATGATTGTTTTTCCCTAACTGGAACTGCTTCTCTCTCTTTATTATTGTTATTATTATTTTACTCGAATACACTAATTTTTGTTCATTGTTTCTTTTTTATTATACTCACTCTTCATTCTCTATCTCTTCACAACCTTATTGTTATTATATGACTCATATGTATTTCGTACCCCTTTGTACCAATGTTTATATGTTCAAATAAATAAAAAGTAAATACATAGGTCAGGAAGTCATTGCCACAAGTGTTCAGCATTTCAGACGTAACATCTACATACGGTTATGTAAGCCCATAACAAGTCACACGTTTGAGTTTGACTTCCGTTTGGTTTGAATACCCAATAAGTATCACTAGCTCCTACAAAAACAGTATTTCAAAGTCAAATAAATAGATACATATTTGGTTAATGAGTTACACACGTTCTACTTTTAGCTATTCAGCCTACATATTCATAGTTGCAATTCTGGTTAACCTGTTTCCCCTTTTATTACTCCATTTTAAAAATCTTTGTAGAAGGTGGAACAAATTTCATCATTTGACTTCATTATCTCCGTCGACTAATTCAAAAAGAGCTATGAAATCAATCTCACAATCTGATTATTCCCCATCAGTGTTAACTTCATCTAGTTCATTTGGTAGTCATACAACAACACTTTCAAAACCTACCATAAATAAACTAAGTAATAATTCAACTATTATCATGGATACACTTTTAAAGAATGATAATAGCAATAATAATGATAGTCATGCTAATAATAGGTCGTCGATTTCTTTAATTAAAGATTTTCAATTATCGGGTAAAATTAGATCCGATAATCAAGACTATCCTACATCATCATTGTCACTGTCATCAGCGTTTGGCTGTACACCTTTACCATATGGATTATTGATCAATCCACCTATCCAAAAATCTAAGTAAGTATCGTTTTATCTCAATTTTTATGTTTGTTGTATGTAATTGGAGAGTTATTCAGGGGAAAAAGTGCCTTAGATCACCTTTATACTATAAAAATTGAAGATAAAAGGAAAATTCGTTTCAAACTATTGATACATAACTTGTACTGGTTATCTGACTAGCGGGTTAGCGTTATTATCATAATCAAGTATTTCGACACAATTTATATAACATGTTTGTTACTCATACCAACAGATTTTCCACACAGTAATCACAACGTTTCTTTTTGAAACCAATACTAAGGTTACTTCGTATCGGAAAAGTTATCAATGATGTCTTCTTGTCTGGAAAACATCTCAAATCTATACTTCCAAGTATGCATAATTTCTTTCCATTTGGTTATTTAGAAAGCCATTCAGTGAATTGTCCCGCACATAGTTCAACCTGATCATATTAGCATTTGAAATTTCTATGGATGAATTAATACACCTAAGACATAAGTCATTGTGTATCATCAGTGTTTAAACATTTATTTGTGTTTAGTTATATTTTTCTTTTTAATACTAGGGAGTATGTTTTAAAAATTTTAAACTTCACTACATTAATGATATTTAAATAGAATGGTTATCATTTTAATTGAATGACTTTTTCATTTGATCATTTTCCTACACATAGACGTAAAGGAGTTCTCGTTAGTCAAAATAACCGATGCGCCGGTTGCGGTGCCTTCATTGAAACGCGTAAGTTCTTCCTCAATTGTTGATTAGTAATTACCTTGAATATTCAAGAAATAAGTGTGCTTTCTTTTCATTTTCCTTAAATAGTGTTTATTATATACTTTGATATTGATAAATCCATCATGAATACTGAACCATTCTGAGGACTGTTAAATGTGCCAGCAAACAATATAAATGGCTGCATGTATATCTTTCTTGTAGATCATTGACAAGTTTTACTAGCCGGACTATCGTTTAACCTGCTTCAGTTTAGGCTTTTCAGCCTTCATTCACCGAAACAAGAAACAGAATCAAACTTTTCTATGTAACTGGACTGTTTTAACATATCAAATTGAGAGAATTAATACCTAGTTGGAGTGATTTGATAGTTTGAGAGTTTGTTTTTAACTCTTTGAGTCGAAGTTTCTTATTCGCACACCCACTTTAGCTTTAACAAACTGGTAGCATCAGTAGTCCTTACATCAAAAGTGTAACCGAAACTCCAGTACATGAACTCTTTTGTTATTGAGTTGCATTACAAGAATTATTTCCTGGTACTTCTGTGGTGTGTGCTACCTATACGGACAGATGTAAGTAGTATGTATCAGGTATTGAAAGTAGAATTCTTACTGAAGAGGAAAATGAAGATAAGAGAAAGAAAAACTGAGAGCAATCGAAATAATAACAGGAATGAAAGAACAATGAAGTTTGTGAAAGACAATTTATGAAAGATGTGCAAATAGAGTATTTAATGCACAGTTTACATATTTTACAAAAACACTGTTATTTCGCATAATATAACTGATTTCTCTTGTCCAAGTCTTCGTTCACTACACTTCTACCAACATGACATTTGTCTTGACAAGTTAATCTCACTGTGTTGATATGCTGTGGAAATCTGAACCGGTACACGTATGTGCTGTGTTCTCTGTTGCTTATATCTGACTAATACATATAAATTCACGTAGATCAGTGTTAAATGATAGTGACGATATCTGCATTCTGTCGGAAAGCATAAGTTATTATTTGCTGATTCATCAAGTGAACTGTAGTAAAATTTTCACCCAAAGAGTTAACAAATCTAATCATGTATAGATTTGAGGTTCCACACTGTTTAACCCCAAGTTGAAATGAAACAACTTGCAGCTCTTTGACTAATATCAATCAATAATAAAAACATCTTGGTGGCTTGCATTAGTGTTTTTACTCTGCAGTAATTTTCCTAATGTTCAGTATTTTTAAGCAGAGCCTGGTCCTACGTTGTAGCTGACTGACTGACTGACTTTTAAGCAGAACATTGACGTAACTATCGAGTTCCGTTATTATTTATAGTTGCTTACTGTTTCGTTCTATCCGTATTTTTCTTCAGGATATCTTAAAAGAATGCGTTTTTGTGAATTTTTCGGTCGTTACTTTTGTTGTGTTTGTCATTCGAATACACTTATGACTCTTCCTGGGAATTTAGTAACCTGTTGGGATTTTCGTATGTTATCAGTCAGTAATTTCGCACGAGACAGACTTCGTCAGCTGCATAATAAACCTTTATTAAGGACAATCGATTTTAACAAACAAGTTTTAAACCGTCAGTCTAATCTTTTGAATTGTTTGACTTTACGTAAAGAAGGGAATTTGATGCTACCATTTATTCAACGGTGTCAAACAGGTTAGTTGTTGATGTTTTAACTAGACAAAAGTTTTCATTATTTGTTGACTATCTTATGTTATGTGATTATAATTTGACGTTTATGAAACAGTTGCACGGAAAAAAATGTAAAAACTAGTAGGTAAAGTCGATAACTTTAAAAGTTCAGTAATTTCGATCTTACTGTACATAATTATTATTCTTACCACCCCATCTATAATATGGAAAAACATGTCCCATTAATAATAAGCTTTACAGTCATTGGTAGCTAACCCAAACTTGAAATTCTGAAGTCGAAAGTAGAAGAGGTGGACTAATGAACACATTACTCCAAGAATAGGAAGAAAACATTCGAGGAATGTATAGCAGTTGGAAACAATTGGAAAGGAGAGTCTAGGACAGAATTAGTTGGATAATCCTGGTCGACGCTTTTTGCTCCCTTCACGAGGGATAACAGGCGTAAGTAATACTATTTTCTAGGTGAAAAGGTTTTGTAGAGATTGGTTCAATTTGTAGGTTGCATTCATCATCACAGATTAATCTCAATCAGCGTACCATTGAAAAGCAGGGAACATTATAATAGCAAGTAATGATTAATATTTTACTTTTGTTTCTGTATTCTGTTTTAGCTCAACAATTAGTCGATTTTACTTCCATACCAAGTCATTGGTTCGAAACACCAGATTTATGGAGTATGGCTGATTTACATTCTGTACATGATGGAAAATTATCAATAGCTTTACGTGCATTACTCTTACCAATAGTAGAGCATATATCAATATGTAAACGATGTTTAGCTTGTGGCTTTATTTGTGAAATTTGTAAATCTGGTCAAGTTCTTTTTCCATTCGGTCAAGTAAATACCACAATATGTTCCGGTTGTTCAGCTTGTTTTCATCGTGCATGTTTACATTCCCCAAATCCTAAAACATGTCCAAGGTGTATTAGACGTGCAGTTAAACGGGAACAATTGATTTGAAAGGACTCTATTAATTTTATTGGTTTAATTTTTGTATTCCAGCCTTTTTGCTGATGCTTGTATTGTCACAATTACTACCCATTTATCCCCCCTCCACACATGTACACCGCATTATTTCACTCCATTTTATCACCTAAATATCAAAACAGAATAAGAATCAATCCCTGTGTTTATCTTGTTGATCTCAACTAATTATTTTTCATTACTGTAAATTTAACTCGAAACTTGGTATAAAAATCAGTATTTTATTTTTGACGACATACTATCCATTTGAACAAAAAAACTGTTTTATTCTATGACTAGTATTTTTATTAGTCAAATTTCTGTTGGTCCTCTTTATTTTCTCTGCTCAGAAGTTTACTATTATTATTATCATTATTACTATATTTATTTTTCTACTACAGTTTATTACTATATGTAATCCAAACAGTTGATCCCTATTCATTAATTGATTGAAACATCGAAAAATGGATAATGAATAGGCTGATTTTTCTTCTACTCTCATGTCTTTCTAATCGTTTTGTAATTTACTTCACACATGTAATATAGTATATTAGATTGCCTTTTAAAAAATTTGTGCAAACAATATATTATCGACCCTCTTGAATATAATTCAAGTCTGTGTTGTTCTATCTCTATATGATTATTGATGAAATGAAACATTATTTGTAAGATGTTAATTTCATGAATTTTGTGTGGAAATAATATAACTTATTTGCCAACTACAGGTCTATGTATTCGACTTTCATCATGAAGGCTAAGTTATAACATTTTGCCCGGCTTCTGAAACTGATGTAATTAAGGTGAAATTTCCATATGCAATCTAGGACATGAAATTTGAGTGATTTAAACAAGAAGTTACTTCTTTATGTGAGAATGATACTTTCTCAAAGATACGGAACTCTTACAAGAATTAATCGCTAAAAATTAGTTGTTTTTAATTTTATGTCTGGTTGACTATGTCAAGCTCCGCCTGTAGTTCTTCTAGGATAACTACAGCTCTATCCTGTAAAAAACAACCTTGCTAAACAACGCTAATCAGAATAAACAAATTAAACAATTTAAACTCTGCCCTCCGAGTTCAGGGAAGCATTATGACGCCAGATGACCTGGTCCTCCTAACGCATATACATCAACAAGTGCGGGTAAAACACAGTCATTGTAGTAGCGGCCTCTGCATCAGTGGGCCTCAACATACACGCAGGACAAACCGTGATCCTCAAATACATTACGGAGAACATCAACCCGACCGCACTTGATGGAGAAACTCTGGAGGGGATGTAAACTCACGTACCTGAAAAGCATTATGGAAGAACGAGCAGGATCCGAAGCAAATGTAAGGGCGAGGATTGGGAATACAAGGGCCGTTTTTTTACAATTGAAGAACATATGGAACTCAAAACAAATGTCAACCAATATCAAAGTCAGAATTTTCAACACGAACGTTAAAATAGTTGTACTGTACGGAGCTGAAAAATGGAGAACTACAACAACCATCATAGAAGAAGCACAGATTTTTATAAACAATTGTCCACACAAGATACTGAATGTCCGTTTGCCGGATACCACCTGCAACAGCCTACTGTGGGAGAGAAAAAATCAACTTCAAGCTGAAGAGGAATTTAGAGAAAGACCCTGGAAGTGAAAAGCACATACACTGCGGAAATCATGAAACTGCATCACAAGGCAAGCGCCAACTTGGAATCTTGAAGGGAAATGGAAAAAAGGAAGACCAAAAAACAGAATGCGTCGAGAATTGGAAACAGACATGAATAAGGTGAATGGCAATTGTAAACACCTAATCTTGGCTTTATGCACTCAGCATTCCCAAGATACATGTGATATGTTTCGAAGATACCTGTGATCAAATACTAGCAATCTACCAATGTCCTCCATTTTTAATAATCAGGTTTCACACCCATAAAATAAAACAGAGCAAACAGCTACTCAGTAGACTTACCCCTTCGTTGATAGACGGATAACTTCCCTACTTCATATGTAACGCAAGTTGGCAAATCCAACCGAACTTGTTAAACCCGTCCCGAGCTTTCATTAGATACCAGTGAGACAGGGCTGAAGAGATTTTTAAAATAGTTGTAGTCGACACACTAAACTACTTCTCTCTCTATCATCTATCATGCATTAACGCAGACCAATGTAGAAGTAACGTTTTACATTTAGAGAGAGAATCACACCCTAAAACATTCTCGCATTTTTGTGTATGGTGATCAAAAGACACCATTTCGTCAGTATTCTCATCTAATAAATCGATATACTTCTTTGGTAGCTTATTTATTGATAAATACTGTTATAAAACCAGTATGCCAGAGGTATTAAATGTTACCTTAAAGACAAGAAGGAACACTACATTCGGGCTTTGGTACGTACTTTTGTATTTTACAATGTTATAAATGGCAAATATTTCATCCGTACATCCACATCCAGGTCTAAAACTTGCTCAGTTTTCCCGCATTTTCTACTAATGTACCATACTTAATCGCCAGACGATCATTAAAGGTAATATTTTATGCACCATATTAGCCAAACTGATTCTGCTGTAGTTATTAGAGGAGGATTTTAGTCGTTGCTGATATAGTGGGACAATCAGGGATCGATTTCAATTAGATGGGTTCAAGTTCGATTCCTAGACTAGTTAATATTTCAGTCAGTTTTAATGAAATACATTATTATCATTCATAGCAATAAACGATGAATAACACTGTCATATTAATGTTTAATGAACACGCACAAAGTAGATATAACAAATAACAACCAAGCAAGATAGAATTGGTAAACACTTAAAAGTATAATTTGATTGATCAAACTTTATATTTGAAAAGCAACAATGTCTATTACAAACACTAAATTAAAACAAACAGTTACCAAAAAATTGTTCGTAAACACTAAAACTAAGTAGATTTTTTTTGAATAATATATTTATTGTTTATTTAATTTAAGATTACAAAACCACTGTGGATTCCACATGCACTATACTATCAGTAGTAATAACAGCAAATTAGTTTTTTATTTATCAATATATTACTGAACTATAAACAAATCCATGTGAAAAAAATCACACTAGAGTTCTAAAATTGTTTATAGTAAATAAAACAATGAACTAATGAACATCATCTCTGAGATGCAAGTACATCCAGCTGACGAGTCACAAACGCGCGTCCTGGATTCCACTGCTAGCCACTATCCACCTTTGCTTATAATGAAATAATAGTTTCATTAAACTCAATTAATGACAGAGTTGATATGAATATGGGAATTTATCGATAGAATTTTCTCGTCCAACTTATATATTTTATTTGCATGAAAGTGAAATTTTGAATAAATTTATTTAATGTTTCTGTTAAATCTACTGAAACGTCTAATCACACAATTCAAATACGCTCGAAATCGAAGTTCACAAAACAGTGATTTGTCTAAAAAGCGGTTGTTTATTGAGCAATTTAAATAAATTAGTTACAAACCTCTACTTGCGAGGTATCGTTAACATTGAACACATCTGAAAGTCTGAAATAAAATAGGCTTCATTTAATAACATAAAGAATAATCAAAACATACGATAGTGCAAATGACAGCTGATAGTTGTGTCTAAACTTGATAACAGTTTATCAACAAGCAAAAACGGAACCAAGAACAAACAGTATGGAGACCATTGCGTTTAAATAAGGATTAAACGACTATACAAAATTGCAAATAACTGCTACAAGGATTGACAGAAAGTGATTGTAATGGCAAATACAATAAGTTTTATAAGTATGTATAAATATTTTAGAATATTACACGATAAACTTGCGTTACAACATACGGGTAGAAATTGCTAAGAATCCAACTGTTTACTGAATATTATTAAGTAGTATAAAACAATTGAGAGAAAATAATAAGGTATTGTGACCCTAAATTTGACTCCCATTCGATCGTACGTAGGTCGTTATCGAAATATACGTGTCGCCAATCCTCGTATATAATTGTTGACTTGATTGGCGTTAGTGAATAGCGGGATTAAATGAGTCAAATACGAGAATAAAGTTTCAATGCGTACATTTCATACAATCGTTGATCTGAACAAACAATCAAGGAGACGGAACGAGGAGGAGTGAAGCGAAACTAAATAACGTGCAGTGGAGAAGGCAAGTTAGCCAACTCAATTTAGCCAAGCGTAAATCGATATTTATAGTCGAACAAAAACAAGTTACAGACATGTGATGAATAAGGTAGGAAGTGAACACACATATGCTCATATAAAAAACAGTCAGGAGAATTAAGCAAATAATTAACAAGGTCAAAATATCACTCAAGACGAATGAATAAATTGACTTGTCCGGAAGCCAGAATAAGCTATGTGAGCTTAACATATCAACCAACACTACAAAGGACAGAGACCGTGGACAAACTTAACAGTTTCAAACATAATCCGAAAGAACAAATTTAGCTATTTCTTAGATACATCAACTTCTTGTGGCCATAATTCAGTTTCCCTACAAGTTTTAACTTGAAATGTTTTCCGAGGCTAATCAATACAGTCTCCATCATGAGTCAATGTCTATAAAGACTACATTGGTAACTAGTGTTGTTAGAAGGTTTATGTCCTTCAAGATTTCGTAGCGTACCTCCATTATTCTACACAGGATCCTACCCGAGACATTAGGAGCTTATGACGAGCACATTATTAATCATATAATGATTCAAAACTCAGCAATCGTTTTTTTTCCAAACTTAGTCATCTGAAAATAAAATATGAAGATATTTCACGATATGTCATAAACTATTACGTAGATTTTTAGTAGGCTTTCAGAAGGTGAAACGATAACAGATTAATTTATCTAATTTATCTAACCTCCCTCGTCTACCGTCGTCATCGGTCTTACTCTATGCTGACGATGTCAAGATATGGAGAGCGATACAAAGCAAGGGCGATAGCTTAGAACTCCTAAATGACCTGGAGAGATTATCTGAATGGTCCCAAACCTGGCAATTGCCGATAAACACTTTCAAGTGTATTGTGATGCATATTGGCCGCCAGGGTATAGACAAATGCACGATGAATAACACTGAGTTACCTATTGTCCAGGCACACAATGACTTAGAAGTCGTCGTTAGTCAAGACTACTGCACACTGCCGTGCAATAGCCGCCAAAGGTTTTAGAACGCAGGGCTTTTAGTCATCTCGACGCTAAAACGTTTCTGACTTTGTATACAGTGTTCGTACGTCCTAAACTTGAGTACTGCATACAAGCAGCTAGCCGCTGCCTAAAAAAACACAGTGAACTCTTGGAAAGGGTTCAGAGAACAGCAACTAGGCTGATTCCCAGAATAGCGAAGCTCCTAACTGCACACGGTGTTATAATCATTACTGTTTTTAGCTTGTTACATTGTTTTATAGACTTAGTATTATATTCGCAAAACTTTTATATATGTCTTATATCGGTAATTATAAAATATTACTCATAGATTTATAACCGTAGAGTCTGGTGAAATTGTTTAAACGATCATTCGTCGAAGAATTCTTTGTTTCGAATAAATAATATTCCCAATCTATCATTTGACAACAACAAAATACTTTCATCTGAAAAATAATAAGTTAACACGATTACTTATTTTAAGGTTAATATTGCCATCGACAACTTGGAAGCAGATTATAAGCTATTGAGAACTTGCTACGATCAAGGTTAATCACCAGAGTAGTTTCAGGACATAGAAGTGAGCGATCAACCTTTGTTTAAATCTGTTTAGCTGACATATCGTATCCTTTCTTGACTGCATTTCTTATTTTATGATTGTCTACAGTTAATTAGTCATTAGATGAAATTTGCTGTTGAGATGACTTGAATGGCCTTGATATTGATTAGGATTAATCATCAATCTTCTGTTACTACTACTTTCAATACATTAAATTGATTGACCAATTAGACGTTCGATATGCATTGAATTGATTGGCTAGTTGGGTTAGAGCGAAAGCATTTGTTATTGTAGCACTTCAAGATGGTCTCTTCTATGACTAACATGCATCAAGAGCGTGTTACACACATGCAAGCACAGCAACAGCATATTTTTTAATAACAGTTACCTGGATGTACAAACTCGATGACCTCTTATATACTACGAAAGTCAAAAATAACGTAGACTTACACCGCAAACCTGTTTGTAGTTCGTTTCAGGAAGTTTGGTGAACTCTATCAATGTACAAGCAGGTTGGGTGCTTGTTCATCTTACAATGTTAGATGTTGATATTCTATGGTGGTCAGTTGGTAATATGAATGCGACGTCTGTTAACAACTTTCATACTCTGGCGTACGATCTAGAAGGAACAGAAGCTGAAGAAACCAGTATTAATGGGATTTCGACAGGAGAACTTCAAAATGCTTTGGGTAATAATCCTAATGTTCGACTGGCTAAAAAAATTCATGATGATAAAGAAAAAGGGCAAACAAACTATCGGTCAAGTTCAACAGAAGCATCGAAACAAAACGTGACAACTGAGCTTGTGAATAAATCTAGTGATGGACAGTGGAATTTAATTAAAGTTCGTGTAGGTTTTGATGTTACACGTAAAGGTAGGTTCTGCGTTTTTTCCACTCGTCATATGTTAAGTAGGTGTTATGACATCAGGTCTAATTTCACTACTAATGGCTTGTATTTACAAAGTACAACTATTATTGCAGTTATTATGAACCGGTTTATACTCATAAGGGTTTGTATTTAGTTATCCATCCATTCGTAATTTGGTCATTTAGATACTTGTCTGTAGTTCCAGTCTGAGGTATAGATTAGATTATAAAATAAAGTGGTTTTATTCTAGTTGTTTGGTACTTACATATAGCTTTGATGAAATAGTTGGTATTCAAAATCTATTGGGTTAAATTAAAAAGTCTATTACGACCTATTGATTAAGGATATTTGTTTACATAACTGTTCGCTAAGTTATACGACTTAGCTATTAAATGTTAGTTCATGTTCAATCGGTTACGTTTCATCCAGTTCTTATATAGCCTATAGTCTATTCAGTTTTAAGTTTTAGTTTAAATTATTACCTGAGGTAGCGAGGAAATTTTTTCTGTAACACGAGCTGTTTGTGTGTATTCCTTGTTTGAAAGTTTTCGTTGTTTGGATATGTGTTACGTCCCTCCATTAGTTGATTTAAGTTTGATCATTTGGTACATTTTTAGCGAAGCATGGAGAAAATTACACTTTATTTAAATGACTACACTCCATCTAATCAACATGAGGATATAAAAGACAAAAAAGTGGAGACTGTTAGTTAATAATGAACTAAGCGCTCAAAACGTGATTACGCTTATCGACACAATAAATAGCTGATGTCCCCTGAAACGTATTTTAATTGAGATTATCTACAGATTAGATAAACTATTGAATAGATTATGGACTTTTACCCATGGTACAAACATATAGGTAAGGGCTACTATGCCTCGTATTATTCACTACGGCCAAATTGTAATTTGCAATCTTTGTATGCAAATCAAAGACTCTTCACACACCAATTAACATGGGAAATAACTTCACTTTTAATCATGTTGATTTATAGACTACATATTGAGATTTTTCTCTTCACAACATTCCTGATACCTAACCTGTATATTCATACTTTTGATAATAATCCTATGATCTAATTGACTGTTAATTTTATATCATTTTCTCAGGTGAAAGAAGTCTAGTTATCAATGGATATAAATTTACAAAATCAAGAGATGGTATGGGTGATCGTGTATTTTGGCGATGTTCTCGTCGTGAATGCAAAGCCACAGCAGTTACTGTTTCAAATAAAGTAGAGCATATACGATCGATTCATTCTCATTTGCCACCAGTAGCTGCGGAATTTTTTTCTGATGATTCTTCTCGTTGTGAACAAGAAGTACGATTTAACAATTTAGTCTATACTCAACGTTCTCGTATACGAAGACGTAGCCAACCGAATCCTTCTATGAAACTATCAAAACAATCTGTAACGAAACCCTGTTTTCTTGAACAAATAAAAGAATTAGCCTGCTCAACTTCATATTCTGAAGCATCGAATGCAGTTTCACATAAAAAATATTCCTCAAACATAGGAAGTATGGATTGTTCACATGATTCATGCATTGATTCAAGTGAATATGCATCTTCTATAAAGAAAAGACATTGTTCTGATCGAGTTCTATCTGATTACCCAACTTTACAAACAATGTCTGCCCTTCTAACTAAATGGGTTGATTCGAAACAAATGAATATAGAAAATGACGAGGCAAAAGTAAATTGTTTTACTGCTTTTGAAATGTGCTTTTTCTAATTTAAGATAATCTTTCTAGTCAGGCATATTTTTCAAGTCTGCTTCCGAAAATTGATGATGTTTTGACAAAAATATATTCTTAATTTTAATAGTTGGGATCACGAGTCAATTGAAGCTAGACCACCATGGAAAACCTGGAAGCAGTGAACGGCCGTTTCGTTCTATTGTGGAAAGTATTCAATGCCCTTTTACTTGTCTAAATGTATAAATGAAGTCAAAGAAAGTAATTGGATAACCATTGTCTATAACCGTTACCGACACAGGATATGGCAGCTTTATTGAACTGCTAGTATCTTTTCCAGATTTCTGCAATATCAAAGAGATTTATTGTGCATAAACCCTATGTCTGTCTTTTTATGTTCTCGATTTCACCAATTTAAGGTAACTGTAAAGTATGCACTAGACAGTTATTTGTGTATAAAAGTGGTGTTATCTTCATTATTTTCGGATTTAATCGGTCATTTTACTGTAGTTCAATTATGGTAATGGTAAATAATGACAATATTCTATCCTAAATCCTTACTCATATACAGATATTCTTGTTTATCGTAAAACCAGTTCAGTTTTGGCTTGACACTGCAAATTACAAGATACTAAACTACTACAGAAGTAAATCAATAGCGATGTTCGTACCTCAAATGCACCCCTTTTCTCATGAAGTTGCAGTAATAGTATAATTTCTACAAAATACAATGTTACAAAACTAAAAACAGTCATCTATTTAAAGACTATCACCATTCTCGAGTAGTAGTCCTTTTGTTTATCCGTTCAAGGTTTCATGTTAATGACACCATTAGTAAAAACCTACATTTTTCTGGTTTCTGAAAGAGAGGGATCATCCCATAGAATGGGAAGCAGACAAGTTTCAGTCGCTTACATCCCTTCGTTATCACAAGAGCTCTTTCTTGTGGTTGATAAAAATACTCTAACTTTAAATTTCTTGCTCAATGAAACCCAACGCCATCACAAACTTGCAACTCTGAGTAATTTCAAACTTGAGCAGTTATTACTCAGAATTGTAAACATTATCACTAGGTCGTTTGTTCTGTGGCTGATAAAGAATAGAAGTTTTCGTCAGGTTTTATAGATTACTAAGTCAATAATGATCAAACATTAATTAAGCCACCAAGCTAACTACTTTTAGTCTCACTATATAAATGTTTCAGTCTCTACTACCATTCTGGTGAAGTTTTATACTACCCGTCGAAACTGAAAATGAAGAAAATATTTTTGGTAAACTTTAAATATTAGTAGCTCAAAAATTATAAATGGAGAGTTGGAAACACATCGGAAATATATTGGTTATTGTAGATACTGGAAAAATTCATTTGTTAGATAATGATATTCAATGAGTTCACTATGAACGAATTATTCATATAAATATGATATATCACTTGATACTTTCTCATGTTTATTACAATAATACTAAAATGAAATTGGTAGGTAGCGATAACTAAAATGGAGTTGACAATATATATCAATAGCTGCCAATTTAGTAGTTTAAATTTGTCATAACTGTAAAATCTGATGGTTCTGGATTGAAATCTGTTTATTGTTCTCAGTGTTCATTTGTGAGATACCCTAAACTGAAGGAAAAACATCTTTTTCTGCATCTGATGTCAGTTTAGGGTGAAAACTAAATTTGTAACTTAAAAAGATCTTTAAGAATTATCTCCAAACTTTTACGTGGTATCATCAGTAAAAGCAGTATTACTGTAAAGTAAATACGGATAATCCATCAGTCAGTGACTGTCGAAAAAATAGAATATGGGTCATTTCTAGGTATTTTAGAAAAATTATTAAGCATAGCTTCAATAAAATAGAAGTAAAATTATGAATTATAGTGAAAAGGTAAGTTATATTTGAGAGCTAATTCAAGTAATTTCTTCCATCCTAGACAACTATAAATGTTATAATATTATTTACTCACCGTAAAGTTGACATTACTTGATTTAATACTTATGTTTGTATGGAAATATTGAGTTTAAAATTTATCCTAGGAGTTTGATGCATTGTAGTTGACTACCTAGTTCACCACGAGACTATTATTATTCATATCTAACAAAGTTAAAGCTTATGATGACAATCGATCTAACCATTGTCTTTTCATTATGAGCTTTTTGATTACATTCCTAATTAACATCATTTCTTCCTTAGCAATGTATTACTTCATATAAGCGTAGTTCTTATTTGACAAAATACTTATTCGGTTGTCACTTTGTTAGTTTTGTATCTTTTAATAAGACTGAACTCATTTGTCTCAAGTGCATTAAGAAACAAATAATTAACCAGCACAGTAGTATAGTTCATCATTTATAAAATGACTCATAGTAAAATGTCGAAGCTCAAGTCATTTCATCTATATGTAGATTATTATTTAACCGACTGCATGCAATTGACTTAAATAATAGTTCGATCTGATAGACAGCTGATTAAATGATATGGTAATAATAATAATAATAATAATAATGCATTTTAATCATGTGATGTAATAATAGTACATTTTTGTCTTGTGATATTCAAGTATCATTGATGTGGTGTGGATGTATTAAATCTTTTGGTGATAATTCACGAGTTATTGATATCATAACTTCCTCATTTATTATGTTGAGTAATTTTCTCATATTTTCTCAAATTCAATTATCAGAAGGGGGTTTTTGTGGAGATTTAGTATTTTCATAGTTGAAAGCTTGAGTCAATTGAAGCTTGACTACTACAATAGGACGAAACGGCCGTCCAAAGCTTCCAGGTTTTCCCTGGTGGTCTACCTTCAATTGACTCACGCTTTCAACTATCAAATTCAATTGTTTGTTAGCATTAGATTGACCTGAAACTACAAATAAACTGTTAGTTGTGAGATTTATTTTATTAAAAATAGGACTGGATGTTACTCAAGGAATTATTGACATATATTTGTTGACATTTAGTGTCATGTAGCAGTTATACTTTCCAATCAAATGTAACATATAGCGACTAATGGTTTTCTCTTGTTGGATGGCGTAAATAATAGTACAAAATACTAAATTTACAAGAGAAAATTAAAATCTCATTGAAATACCAGACCAATAATGTTTAAAATAACTATTGAAAACTGTGATTGCTTATACTTGAAACCATGTATAACTCATTCAGTATCTGATATAAATATATGTGAATATTGTCCTTTTCACTGTTACAAACAAAATACATGGTATGGATATCATTCTTTGAGATCTGCTTATGATGTAGTTAATTTTAAATCAAATTTGATAGATAAGTATCAAAATAGTTCCTTATAATTTATGTCTAATCCTTTAAAACTATACATAGACCATCAGTGTATGTTTAAATGCATCAAATTACGTGTTGGCTTAAAAGTGTTCCCATAGGTCTTTATCTCCATAACTCATAGGTTTTCAGAATAATTAACCCTCAAAATATCATCGTAAATATTCTCGTGATAACGGATCCATTGTTGGGGTTTTCGAGTTATCCAATTGTATGTAGGTTTTCGATTTATTTACGTAAAGATAATACAAATACTTCAAACACATTGTTCTTAGCAAAAAGAGCGTGACATTTGTAGATATGAGTGGATGAAAAAGTTAGGTAAGATTTCCAAACACTATTTATATAATATCGTGAAAACAAAGAGACTTCTTGTATATAGTTCAAAAATTGTTTTCTTTTTTACTTCCTTGTTAACAGGCAGTTCACAGAATAAAATTTCATTATCGTTCCAAACGGTTGTTAGTTTTGGTATTCCACATACATTGGTTTCTACATAGTCCACTGTCATTGATAAACAGATTGAGGTCACCCAATAAGATATACTCAAAGTAGACCCTGGAGAAAACTTTAGCTTAGAACAACACAAAAAAAGAAAATTAGCGAGATTCAAATCAAAAGGATGAGACTCCGAACATCAATTTTAGTAAAAAAATAAACATAGGAATTGCATTTCACGAGGAAAAATATAGGTAGAGGAATATAACAACTAAACATCACCAAGTTCAGGATTTATAAGATATGACTTTAATCCAGATATGTTGTTGTTCCCGATTTGGTGTTGTATCATCTGAGGTCTAAAAAAAAGAAGTATGCACCTTTTGATATGGCCCACTCCAAAAGTTAATGACCATAAACTGATCTCATTATCTTCGTCCGGACTTGTAATTAATGTATATGCATACCACTACACAATGTGAGAATGACATGACTAAATCATTTATAATGTCATTCGATAAAGAATAAAGCTTTACGACTATCTAATGATACCAATAGTATCTCTACTAATTAGGAAATGGTTAAATTCAATCAGTCAAAGCTTTCTACTAGATGTTCTATCGCATCTAGTCAGTAACAAGTATACGAATATGATATAAGCAAGGATTTTATGAAAACTTTCCGATTGAAAGTTATTTTTTAATTCTAATTCGATCGTATGTATGACTGTGGTTATTCATCGCCGAGAAAAAATTTCAATGTAAAATGAAACAACTGTGTCTACTGATTCCCATTTCTCTAACCGATATCATTTCGTGTTTGAAAAGTATTTTAAGGTAGGTATTATCTATTTCAATCAAATTTCGACTTGATTGTCTTTTTTTTAATATTTCGTTTAGGAACATCTCTCCAATATTTCAAAATGCATTTTACCTCCAAAGAAATTGTCAAATAATCTCTTGAATAGTGAAGAATACCAGTTATTCAATAATAATTCAATTTTAGGTGAGTATTCAAGAAGAAACAATAATATCTATAAACATTGAAATGTTTTTTCTTTTCATCAAAATTTTTATTTTATTACAATTAAATGATTAAGAAATTCAAGTGTTAATAAACGGGCAACATATGTTTATATACATATATACAACATATATATATATATTTATATATAACCGCCATTATTTAAATTCACTGTAAAAACGTTTACATGTCAGTGACTGTCGTTCATTCAGTGCTTATCGATCTGAGTTCAGATTGTCTTATTAAGATTTAGTGTAACGCATCGGTAATAGATTTTCATCAATCAGAAAATTGTGGAAAACTAGGGAGTAAGAAGCAGTTTTTTTAAACTGATGTTGATTTGATGATGTCATTCACCTTCGAATTGCATATTTGTTACATTGAAATGTAATATAATGATTTGTTACTAAGTTACACATGAACGTTAATGCAAATATTTTATGTTCTGCAACTAATTATATGGGACTCCTCAGCAGTGCGCATCCACGAACCCGCTCTCGCGAGATTCGAACCCAGGACCTACCAGTCTCGAGCCGAAGCCCTTAACCGATAGACCACTGAGCTGGCATCCAACGGTGTTAATGTCTAACTTCAACTGATCCACGAAGCTGAGCAACCGTTCACCAATTGTCTTCAGTGAGTTGATATCTCACAACAGACGTGGTTGAACTCCTGGGTTCGAATCTCGCGAGAGCGCGTTCGTGGGTGCGCACTGCTGAGGAGTCCCATAATAGGACGAAACGGCCGTCCAGTGCTTCCAGGTTTTCGATGGTGATCTAGCTTCAATTGACTCATGATTTCAACTTTGAAAAATACTGAAATCTCCACAAATCCCCTTCTAACTAATTATATGACATATTTCCAGTGACTTATTATTTTAATGAAATTAAACAAATATCCATGTTATGTAATAAAATATGTCATTAATGAATGTAATCAATATTAAACAGTGCCAGACCAAACGTTTGGGCTTTTCTATCAATTTGAAGAAACTCTATGTTTCTTAAAATGTTTTGATTTATATTACACAACACCGCAATCATCAATGGTATTCATCGGACTCCTGATATATATATAAGGTAAAATTCACTTCAATTCACTGGTAAATCAGTCAATGAACCTCAATTTTTAAGTACTACTTTCAATTGTCGAACGTAGTAAATTACATAATCATACATTACTTATTGTTTATCAAAATATTTTATAAATAAATAGTTAGAATACTCTGTTATCTCTATTCTGTCAACAATAAATTTATTACTACTTGTTAAATTTATGAGAATACGATTGGTATGAAATTCACTTTATTCATGTGATAGAAGAAAAAACTAGAATTATTCGCTTTACACATTAAATGTCCTAATTTCTTGTTATATTATCAATTTGTTTACTTAAACGGTTATTTTTAAAACATTTCAATGTGAAATAGACTTTCATCTGACAAGTGACATGAATACTCCATGACTTTTCAAACATTGAGCTTAAACTACGTCTAAAACATACTGTTACAAGTAGATTAGAAATGTGATCAGCTGTAGAATCCAGGACAGTCATTTCGCTTTAATTCAGACACGTTACCTAGAAGTATATTTGCCCCTCGATTAATGTTCCCATTTAGACTCTAACCCAGCGCTTATCTCTTTAAACACTGACACCTTATCTACTGATCTAATAAATCCAAGTAGTTACTATCTTGTTTAGTCTGTACGAATCTACATGTAAGGGTTAGAATTTCATCAATACAAAGATTCACATACATTCAGCTGATGAACTCAAAGTAGGACAAAAGACGTCTCCTAGATCTTACTACTAGCTACGATCCAAACGTACCTATAACTCGCAAATAAAGACATAATCTTCTCAAGATGCATATAGTGTCAATATAGACCATTCAATTGAAATATTTAATATCAACACCAGGAAAGCTCAATCCTTTATATATATCTTAATTTCGTTTTGCGTAGGATGAAAAATAAACATCCATTTGGATTTCATTTACTACACTGTTGTTTGTTTAAGGTATTTCACATTGATCTCCTAGTTTTTGTTGAACATTTTCAAAACTTATAGATGTAAATAATTCTTCGAATCCAACTCACGGTGATGTTTATGAGGATTCCTTGTCAAAAGTAACAAAATCAGAAAGTTTAAAAAAACTAACTACCCTGGTCACTTCATCGAACAATATTTATGATCATAGTTCAGAAATCGATTTAATATCAATGAATAAAATATCTCAGTTCATTACACGGAACGGTACTACTGATGAAGACGATAGTAATCGAGACTTTATAAATGATAATTCACTGAAAAATTCCATAATTAATTTGTCAAAAGCTCAGCAATCCGATATAAGTTTACCTTCAATAGATGTCAATTCTCTTGAACATAACTCTCAACGTCAAATTATTCTTCTTAATAACGAACAATTGAATGAACTATTAAAAATAATAAAGTAAGAATTCAAATGTCTCATATGCCTTAATATGGTTTTCATTCAGTTCAGTTATCAATTTCAAACTGAATTCTAAAGATAATTAAGATAAATCAGTTTCATTTTAGATATTTTTGTAGCACAACGCTTAAAGGTTTTTCTATTCTAGTTGGATTTATTATTTCAATTACATAATAAATAACAAATCACTGGACAATTTGCAATAGTGTGTAACTGACATTCCTTCTATGATTATTTCTTAAATGAAGTCATTTGAAAATAAGAGACTGACCAGTTGCAGTCCTAAGCATTAATCGGAAGATTCAAACAAATAATACTAAGTGAATTCAAACTTCACCCCATTGCACAAGCAAGTGGCTATCAGGACTCAGTGGTTGAAAGGATAACGCGATGGCGTTTAAAGCGAAAGGCACTGGGTTCGAGTCCCAGCTCTGAGATGCAGGTACATCCAGCTGGCGACTCCCAAATAGGACGAAATACACGTCCTGGATTCCACTGCTAGCCATTATTCATCTTTGCTTATAATGCTTGTGAATTAAGGCAATGTCGAGGCAATACGCACAGTATGCACATATGCCGATAAGAGATTGACCAGTTGCAATCCTAAGCATCAATGGGAAGATTCAAACAAACAATACTAAGTGAATTCATTTGAAATATATTTACATAGTTTCCTTACCGTAGACTATCTGTTCTTTAGAATAGTTGAGCATGAAAATTGGTTAGAAAAAACAAATTGCTGTATTTCTATTGTCTTAATCATAGTCTGTATTCAGTTACGATTAGTCACTGTTGAAAGAAGTGTGTAATTCTGTGATATCTTATTTGTATTATTTGTTCACATCGAGAATTTTATTGATGGGTTACTTCTGAAATCCCATCGGTTAAAATTAGATAAAACCTAGTTCATAAATTACACAGATGGAGATTTATTTTAAATTGCGAACCTATGAATTCAATTCATTTTCTTATTGGTTGTTTGAATCTTCCCATTGATATTTATGGTTGCAGTTGATCAGTCTCTTATCGGCAAATGTTTATCCTGTGCGGATTACTTTAATTATTGGCTTAAGTTATAAGCGTTATAAGTAAAAATAAATAAATTTGTTGTTTGTAAAAGTTTGTCGATGAGTATTATGATGAGACTAATTTAATGGAAAAAGCTTATCAGAATGCTTTCTGCTTCTGATAAAATATAAGTCAGTACGTTTTAAAATTAAGATCATTTACGTGCATACTTTTAAAGCGGTTCTCTTTCAATCGAAATATTTCTACTATCCGTAGAAAATCAAAACATAGATTTAAACAGACCAGGACGTAGCACAAATTTTATACATTCGTTTATATTGTTTCACGAGTAAAAGAGAATATTAAAAAGTATGATTGTAATACCGAAAGCAGCATGGAAATTCAAAGAAAAAAAAGAAAAGGGAATTTTGGGAACATATCTGAAATATAAAACTTTATAGCACTTGTATCACAGTTTTAAGTTATCTTAAATGCTTTTCGATATATGGTTCCCCAATACAGAAAGATATCAACTTAAGATACTGTATCACAGTACATGCCTTGAAATCTCGAAGCTCCCAAACAACACAGAATAAGTTAAACAACAAATGGATAGATGATAAAATAAACGGAAAGAACGTGGGTCAGAATAGAAAAATAGCTAGTAAATATTTTTATAAGGTTGAGAATCAGATAAGTAGTGAATGGGTTTTCTTCGTTATAGTGGTTTTCCACCCACTATTGTTTAGTATCTCAACGTGCTCAGCCAACGAAGTTATACCTACACACGGCTTTCAAAAACATTGTTTGACTTTATGAAATGGTAAATTATCTTGGTTTATTAAACCTTAAATTGTATTCTAACCGAATCTTACCTTAGCAGACATGGCATAATAAAGTAAATGGACACTTCAAACACACCGCCAAATATCTCTATTTCTAAGATTAACAGACAGGTAAAAATGTAAGGTGAGAAAAAATCTAGTAACGTTACTTACGAATTTCAAATCATACTAATGAATAATAATAATAGTCGTAATAATAACTTATATATATATATATATATATATATATATATATATATATATATATATATGTCTTCTGACAGTTGTAGTCGAATCAACAATATTCCAATCCAAAATGAATCTATGGCTTCACCTCTACAAACATCAAGTTTAGTCAATGACAATTTGCTTAATCCCATTGGGCTGTTCACAACTTCCAATCCTAATTTAACTGGAGGTTTAGCACAATGCACTACTACTTATTGCTGTTCACACTATCCAAGACTTAATAGTAAAGTTGTGAATCGCAATAATGATTGTTTACCATCATTTCACCATATTTCCTGTTCTACAAACCTAAATTCAAATCCAATTGTATATTCTTCCAATAATTGTCCGAACAATTTATTCAGTACAATGTCCAAATCATTGTCAGTCAATGAGAGTAACACTGATGGCTCTGGTAAGTTCCATACAATAAACAATTTTCTAATAAAAAAGTTAATGGACACATCAAAAGGCAATTATTCACTCCTGAGATTTCATCATTCATTCAGTTCGAATAGTTAGTGGAACTATTTTGAAAATATCTTTAATGACCATATTATTAAGGTAGTTCTTGTTAGTACGTGGCTGAATACACGCTGAACGAACCGTAGAAACGTCCACTGTTGGCATGGTCTATTATATTCCAGGAATTAAATTACGAAACTGGATTGACTATAGAAGCTCCAAGGTATCTTTGAAAGCATTTAGCAACATTATGGATATCTTAGATATTTGTTTCAATTTTCTTTAACAGTAAAATATTTCATCACAATTAAAAAGGTTCTCACTGATCTCTATTACATTTTCTTTGTGCATAATCCCTTATCAAGTGTTTATTTCATTCATTTAAAGAATCAACCTGACAACAGCATAATGTTCCTATTTCGTATGTTTCAGTAAAAGGGGACTCATCTGAAATTTCACTATCTTGGAATACGCTTAAACATTGAGAGCGTACAAAATCCTTATTTATATCCGTAATGTTTGAAGCCAGATTACGAGTTTGAATCTGTTGGGAAATTCATATGTTACCTTTTTACAATTTACGCTACCTTAATATGTTTCCGTAAACGTTCTGTAATTTTTATTATACATTCTATGTATACGAACTCACTAGACAGTAACCATAGTAACCTAGCTGTGACCTTGTGCTCTAATAGTATTTTTGGATTAGTAATCGTCTGTTAACATTCTTTTCATTCACCTTTGTGATAAAAATAGTGCACATGTGTAAGTCGCATGTTTCCGTCTCCTTTACCTAAATTGATTAAAATAACAGTTTTACCATTATCTATGTATGCACGATGGGAGAACGTGGGCGAACATTGGCGAGTCACTTACGGATATCTCAAATGGCTTTGTTTCTTATTTTAGTGCTTACTAGTTTAAATACAATAATATGACTCATCACTTCACCATTGTCTACTTTATCTTCATACCCTGTCTCACCCATCCTGCAGTTTGTATGTTTAATATGCTTCATATAAAAACATAGTACTTTAGTAGTTTAATGAGACTATTAATGTGATATTTCCTTTTTTGAAAAAAAAACGCTTATTTCAGATTGTATATGTGACCAGTTGAATTTACATAGAATTATTTTTAGATGATAAACATATCATATAAGTCTATTTCTTTAGTTTGAGTCATACACCTGAATTTAAAGACATGTTGAAGAGATAGGTAGCCGTTATTTTACTTGAATTATCAAGTCTATATAACAAAACCCAATTAAGAGTAGATGTAGATATGTAGGGGACAGGAGCATCTTTGAATTCTTTTGATAAATTTCTGTCAGTTTGATATAAAACCGTCGTTTTATTTTAAAACACAAAGGCTAAATCCAATAAAGATGATATTTTTTGAAAGCCTTCATTTATGTTTTAATCATGATGACGTAGACAATACTTAAGAATACTCGTCTAGTTATAGTGTACTTGGATTATGTATTAAAAAATAACAATTTAGAAATTTGTCATTACTGCCATTCTAAAAGCGTTGCTATACTACACGATGAGAATCATCAATCAACCGTCGGTCTAGAATTACTAAATAATTTTGGGTGAAACAAATGTAGTCATAATTTAGTTTCAAGGATATTGGGACATTCGAACTTTCAATTCTCATTGTTATCACTAGTATCAGGTTTAATGCCTAACTAAAATAACTATTCTTTATTGATATTACTTATTCAAACCAATCGTATTTCACAAGAATTGTCTTTATTTGTTGTTATATTGACATCCATAGTACACTAAATCAGTCACATGACGTTTCATATCACGGTAAGTCAGTAGCTGCCCTTCGTGGGATCAGTTGGGTGAAATATAGATTTATGTGGGGTTTACACACTTTATTCGGAATCCAGTTTTTTTTCCATCAAACAGGACAGCACACAGTAGCGTGCGTAAGCACTATTTAAAAAATTTCATTCTAAACATTAGAATGACTACTTTTTTAATATCTGTAAATATGCTTATCTATAAGTCTGTGCAAAGTTACAGAAGTAAGACTGTCTTTTTCTGTTTTTTATTTCCAAACATCTTAAGTCAAAAAAATTTGTCATGACACTGTACAGTCTATCTCGATTGAATTCATTTCGATTAGTTTTCAATAAAATATGTTAGGCCAGTAATTTATTTCATTCCCAATCATATTATAAAAAATGATAAGATTTTCTGGAAGCTTATAACATAAAAAGTATTATTTTCTTATTGTTTTCTTTTTCAAAATGGGATTCATGATCTGTTATAAGACACTCATCTAAATGGTCACAAATCATCATCTCCCAATTTTCCAATTCATTGGAAAAAGGAGAAAATACGTGAATCTGTTGAAGAAGATGGAGTTAATTCGTTGAATGGATTCTATGATAATAATGATACATTTTCACATCAACTTTATCAAGATAAAGATCATGGTAATACATTGGAAATGGTAGATAATCATCAGATATCGGTTAATAATACTCCCTTGATAAATTGTTCATCACAATTACTTTATGGTTAGTGCAACTTTAATTACATTAATAATAATAATCATCTTATATTAGATTTTTTGTAGGTAAGGTGTAACAATTTGTTCAATGATATTTCATACAACAGGTTTGTATTATATTTTTTAGGGGAAAATCATTTTTTGGTCAAATGAATATGATTATACTCCATACATATATCAGGTCAAGAAGCGATTATCGTCTACAATATATTGTAAACTCTAAAGTTGTAATGTCAACACAGATCATCAGTTGATCAGTCAGTCAGTCCTAAACAATTTAAAACCTGGCTAAAATGTATGTAGTCTTACGTTGTCGCAATTCATCTGACCACAACCAAACAGAAACCTTACAAGATCAAAACCTAAAGGCTGGAATTCGTAATATCAGTGCTAATAGAAAACTAAGCATAAGAAGTATACATCAAGAAAAAAATAAATGAAATTAAGAGGTGGAAAGTGTATAATAACACTATTCAATGAGTCATAAGCAACGTGGATTCCAGCACATACTTTCATCGGTTCAAATAGTTACCGAGTCAGCATTGCGAAGCGGAATTTTCAGGATAAATGCCAAAGTAGTAAAAATATTAACAGTATCAGTATAAGTAGGAACGATTAAACACAGAAAATATGATTATGTAAGAACGAATGAATTTTCAGAGGAAAGCTTACGGGTATTTAAAGAGTAAAAACAAATTATTTGCTCTATTGTGACTGATTCTTAGTCGTGCTATTCAACATCCCTGACCATTGGTTACGATTATTGGTAGAAACACAACCAAGGAATCTGTACCTACTGATACGGCTCAACCCGACAGTCAGTCATTTCATTGACCGATGCTATTTCTTGATTTTACAACCTCTAGTGTAACAACATTAAACTGATGATTTAGAAGGAGAATTGGGTGAAGAATAAATGCAATTCTGTTAATGAAATCGATTTTAAGCCATATCATCTAGAGTTTCTGACCGTAAATTACGATTATCTCGTTTACTTCAATCAGGAAGTCTGAACTATTCAACATAGCCAAGGTCACAAGTTCATAGCTTCATGAATTTGTGATGTGCATTTTCTTGACCATTATCCTTTGATTCAAATTATTCATATCACCACTGAAAGTCGGAATAGACTATGAACTTATATAAAATACTCATTCCCTTCATATTGAATAACAGATAATTAAAATATACTTGTATCTACTTTACTTGTTAGTCCTGTGCTGATGAAATGAAAGAGATTATTTCTAAGTAGTATAAAAAGTAGATTATTTAAATGATGTCTAGAATTTGTTTTAGCTAGAATGGTACACCTACACTCCTCATCTAATAATAAGAACCTTTTTCACTATATATATATACAGCGCATAACTGTCAAGAGATAGGTTCGAATCCTGCCCTGCTGACTTCAGTTAAGTCATTTGATTCGCAACTAATCAAGTATCACATGAAACCGATCACATGAATTCGTGTTTTGTTACTGATTTGTGTTAAATGATGTCAATAGAAGCTTCACAACTAAGCTATTCAGCTCAAAGAACGAAAATCTACCAAAAAAAACTTTCATCGAATATACAAATTTTCAGTAATTCATGTTCTACAATGAATACAAAATTCCCAATATCTAAAGTGTTTTATATAAAATTCTAAGTGTTGATTCTTCTACCTTTTTAATTAATGATCTTAGTTTTGCTTATTATTTATTTATTACACCAACGAATTTCACTGACTCGAATAATCAGGTGAGTTATCAGTATGGGTTTGTGGACATCGTTGAATTTTACTGAGGTTACATGACCGACCCTTGAGAACCTGGGAGCACTGGATGGCCACTCCATTGCAGTGTAGGGCTCCTCACCAGTACTTACCCACGTCCCTACAACTGGAAATCGAACCTGGAACCCCCGGCCCCGAGTGCGAACGCTTAACTTCTAGACCAGTGAGCAGAAATCCAACATTGCAGATGGATCTTTTCTCAGAGGTGTGAAGGTGACCGGGACCGAAGATAGACTTTATAAACGAATATCGATAAAAATTAAATATAATTGGGTGGTTTCTTGTTAACCTTGTTTGTCACAAACCGATTTCAAACAATGCGAAAGTACCCAATCTAACATAGTTATTACAGCTAAAAGTCTTATGGCTATTGATCAACCATTAGATTACAATTGACAGATTCAGGATCTATTTTTTTCTGAATGAATCATCTACAGTAGAACTATGTTTTCATCATCTTAACTACTGCTCAGTGCTTTACACTGGTAAGGCGAATGTTGTAGTAAATTTTTTTGATTAAGGCTTTGCAACGAATGCTTAGACGATGACTCATTATTGCGATAACCAATATATATATATATATATATATATATATATATATATATATATCACATGGCGTTTATGTTTCAGACTAGTTTTTACGTACTTTAATGTTTATTGACTTTTTTATAGTTGTCTATTTCAATCACAAATTCTTCTCTCCGTCAAATAATCCTAGCGAATACTGTAGCATCATCTCTTTATATGTAAAAGTACTTACATGTACGCTCACATGTCCATATATTCGATCGAAAGGTACTTTGATTACAAGTACTTGATAAGTTTGTAGCTTATCTTACTAATTGATGCCATCTTAGCTAACCACATTTCCGCTAAAAAAATATTCAATTTAGACGCTTAGACAACAAGAACTAAGTAAGTCAGTGAATTATCATTAATATATTCTGGGACAGATGTGGGTTGGCCCAAATTGCCATAATTCATTAACATGACAAGATGAAATTAACTTGATGAATAGCAAAAGAGATCGGAGTAATTTAGTGGCAATGACAGTGAGGAAGATTAAGCATTGAAAATGAGGTTCAAAAAGACAGTGGTACTGTATATATAAATGAATGCTGAAATTCAAGATCTATGGTAGAATAAACAATCAATGAATATGCGTCATTGTGAACGACTCTTAATCCAAAGATTCTAACCACTGATCGCATATGTTGCATGGACCCCAACCAATTGATTTGCATCTACCAGGACGGTTTAGACTAACAGTCACTGACTTTATGGATTGATATCATGTCTTTGAAATCTAAAAATGAGGGAAACATAGAAATGTAACAAAAATGTTAGTTATTAATTATGCAATAAAGGTATAACTAGTAATAATCCAAAAAATAGTGCCAAGAGTTTTAACTTTCCTAATGCTCATTCTTTTATAAGGGTGATGTTCAAATTAATTTGTCTCTGAGTGACAACCAATGTCGTACTATCGATTCAAAAGGTAGATAACGTATTCAAATTAGATCAATATTTAATAACCAAGGGAATACTCAGAAGTTATTGATGTCTGTCATCTAGAGAATGTAATGATACAACTTGGCTACTCTATCTACATCTTCGTCTATGGTATTTATTTCGTATGATTTAACTAGACCACCTTAACAATGATTGGGTGGTAAGAGGTGATTTTGTGCTATCACCCCATTGTATTTTAATGAATTGTTAGAAAACAAACATGAACTGCATAAATGCGACTAATGTATTTTCTATACTACACTCATTTCATCTCTACCTTCTCTTTCGGTTGGTAATCAAGTTGAAATAACTTTAGTTCATTTAAACTGTGTATTCCTCTCGCTACTACTTATTCAGTCTGTTCAAGCGCAAACGGAGATCACGTGATAACTCGTCTCACACCACCCTTTAACGTTGAGGATTGATTATTAATGTACGTCGTGGTGATATTAAGTATATAAATTAGATCTAACCTCAACTAAAGTGGTTCATCGTTTTACCTTAATATATATTTTGAATGTTAATTCTTTTATATATCATGAATTCAGTGATAAATTTTCACAACTTAACTCTCATATCTTCCTACTTATATTGAATTGTCAATTTTCTGATCAGAAAGGGTTTCATGGAGATTTAGTATTTCATAGTTGCAAGCGTGAGTCAATTGAAGCTAGACCATCAAGGGAAACTTGGAAGCACTGGACAGCCGTTTCGTCCTGTTATGGGACTCCTCAGCAGTGCGCATCCACGATCCTGCACTCGCGAGATTCGAACCCAGGACCTACCAGTCTCAAGCCAGAGCACTTGACCGATGGACCACTGAGCTGGGATCCAACGGTGTTAATGTCTAACTTCAACTGATCCAAGAAGTTTAACATCCGAACGGTTGCTTTTTAGATTCGTCCAGTAAAATTATTTGAGTTTCTGAAAGGAATCATTTATTTATTTTTTAAAGGTTAAGTAACAAAACTATTTAAAAAGAGCGAGAAACAAATTCTTCAAAATTCTATAAACAATATCTAGTTCAAATTTCTTATATTATTTAATGATTAAATGTTTATTAAAATTTCATTTAAATAGATGATAGATTTTTTTTTATATATATTTGAATTCATGAGCCAATTGAAGCTAGGCTACCATGGAAAACTTTGGAAGCACTGGACGGCCGTTTCGTCCTATTGTGGAACTTGTGGGATATGTGTGGAAAATATTTATTTATTCAACTAAAATGCATAGTGAAAAGTGACGAAAGTAATGACTATGAAATAATAATAATAATAATAGTAATAATGATAATAATAGTAATAATAGTGGCAATAATGATAGTAATAATAGTAGTCGTACTTCTTTTTCTGTTCAACGTAATCGTTGTAATAAATAAGAAGAAATAAACTTGTCAAACTGTCTCATCACCATAACAAATAAAAATTGATAATATTCATTGAACGTTTAAAATTTAAAAAGAAAAATGTCTAACATGTAAATAAATATAGGAAACCTGTACGATTATGTCATAATGTACAACATTCATACTTTTTTTATTTTCTTAAATGCTTCAATCCCTAGATACTAATTTGTATACTACTATATACTCATGTATCTTTAGTAATAAATTCATTATTACTATGGGAATATATTTTGTGTTATACCGACGAAAAAGAAAATTTTGTTATCTGTCAAAATCTTATAATTACTTGTTTTCAAATTAAAGAAGACATACATATTCTACAGAATATTCATAGAAGACATTTATATAATTTTAATGAAAAAATCCAGTATGAATTTGGCGCCTACAATAAGAACAATTCATATCATTGGTATAATTATTATTGTGGTATTAACAGTAATAATAATAATAATGCATTACATTTTTCAATAGACATTATCATAATTACCATTATTATGCATTCGGCATTGTTGACATGAAATACAATTACTTACTATAAATAAGCTTAGATTTTAACAAGTCCCAATGTACTTTAATCTTTAGAATATTTTATTGTTTTACCATAATATCACTTTGAATTTTCTTAGTCTATGCAATTCATTTTACTTTTCAATATTTACTGATACATGACAAGGAATTCTAGTTCAGTTATTTCCTCGTATGCTAGATGGTGGTACAAATGACGTTGTCCAGAACAACAATGAAATTTCCACAATTAAGTTATCTAGCTCAAAGAATACAACATTACCAAAAGTATACACCTGGACAGTAAATTAATATCATCATAGAAAACAGTTGTATCAATATAATGATTTTATTACTATGAAACAAAATCAGAACCATAACAAACATCAATCTTCAGTATAGGGTTGTGGAGATTGTTGAGTTTTAATTGAGATCGTGAAGCGATCAATGTTAAACCACCATTGAGAACTTATAGGCACTGAACGGCCATTTCGTCCTAGTATGGGACTCCTCAGCAGTGCGTATCTATTTGTATTTATATTTAATAATACAGAATTCAGTACATAATATATTTTTACGGTTATCTTTTCTAGCTGTTTATTTTTAAATAATATTGGAAATTGAAATATTCAGCTAATTATAAATTTCTACAACGGATTATGAATCAATTTACTGTTTGTTTATATTATTAATTTCCTTTTTTATTTTTAAATCTATACTATTTGTCTAATTGAAATACTTGCTATGAAGAACATTCTAAAACAGTTGTATGTGATTTGTTTGACATTAGGATAGTAATGACTGTAGTGGGAAATTGTAAATTGACTTAAACAGGATACATATGAACCAAATAAATCTCCATCTATCTAAATGTTTAGTGTTTTTATTATGAGTATTATAGTGACTGGATTTGATCTATTATAATCTAATAAATGTATATCTATACTACTGAAAAATCGTAAACTAAGAAAAGAAAATTTGTCCAGTAGTCATTTTCAATAATTCTTTACCTCGTATCATTTTAAAATGTATGATAAATAAATACTCAATAAAAGTTTAAGTGAATGCAATAAGTAGATAGGTTTAGCAAGGATCATGTTTTACATCATACAGTTTATTAGGATGGATTTATGATAAGTAAGATCACTGAGTAGTAGCAGTATTAGTGTGGCGTTATATATATAAAAACAGAGAATGATGTTGATGGTAAAAAATAAATTTAACAAACTCGATTTGATCGAGTCTTTTAAATTTTACTGGTCTTCATGGAATGCTTCCATTTGAAGTAGGATGGCTCTTTCTGTTACTTCTTTGTTTTTAAAAAAAAATAAAACATACAGATTTGAATTACTTCATAAAACTTCTATGAAAGTCGTATTGTAGATTGATTTGAGCTCATTTTTGAAAGTGAAGATGGTATGAAAAGTAATCGAACGATAGTGTTATTTTCTGGCACCAGTGAATATTGACCTATTGTTTTAATTGACGAACGCTCAATAAGCTGTTTTAACAGTTGTGTTAACAGATGTAATCAATAGCTTTTATTTAATAATGGTTTGTAATTTTCTTCCATGGTAAGAAAGAGAAAATCCCATCCATCATTGATTACGCTTAGTTAAGGATAGAAAACGTTATACCCATCATACTAACTATTATTGTTCAATTAAAACACTAGTGATCAAATTCAGTTTGACGATAAACTATTATCAGTGAAAATTGTAATCTGTCAACCGAAAGCCATGTGTCACATAGTTAAGTAAATGGAGCACTCTTTATGTAACTAGTAGACTGGGTGGATTCAGATATGTCACACGGCTATGTTCATATGCCATCTCATTTCCAGATGGTAAGTAAAAAAATGATAAACAAGGCAAGTTATAAGATGATGTTGGTTATATAATTTCTCCAAGGTTTTTAGCTTATATGTTCTTTTCTAGGTCAGATGGACAGATATGTGGATTCTGATGATTCATGTACACTTTATTTCTTTTGCCAACTATAGTTCCTTAATTATTCTGTTTTATCACTCACGGGAAACGTGTGTTGTGATCGAGAACGCGGGTGAGAACTACCAATGTATTTCAATATTAAATTACAGAATATCTTAGTAAAATATAAGAAGCGTTCACTGAATACTTTATTTGCAAATTTCCATCGTTTATTCTTAACATTCTATACGATTCTTCAAGTTCACAATTCCTTTCTGTTTTCTCTTATATTCTCTTCGACTCAATCACCTTAGCCTTCTGCCTCCAGGTTTTCTACTTCCGATTGGTGTTACACACTATTTATGTCTGTTGATATAAATATCATACGCCTCACGTGTAACTGGATCTGAATGCATGATTGTGGAATGCAACATTAACTTAAGGTCTTCAGCTTAAATTAAACAGTTACTTTAGTTTTCCGCTAACTTTATTTATCATCGCCAATGGATACTTTGATTCAATTTTTATTAGATGTTCACTTCAACTTCAAACAAATAGGCGAAATATTGATTCAGATTTTCTTCATGGTGTTTCTTTTTACTATTTATCAAAATAAAAATAATTCTTTTACGTTGCTTTGTGTTTATTTCGAAATTCTAGGTACGAACGATAAATTGTCCAGTTACAATACATTTAGTTCAACTTCAAGAACTACAAATACTACTAATAGTTACGATAGCAGTAGTAATAGTGAAGCACGTGAATTAATTCAAAGTCAATCTGAAATTACCATTCAGTCATCAGACAATGACCAATTTCTATATAATCAAATTCAAGGTGGTATTCTTATGAAAATACTTAATACAGTACAACATCTGACCGCTAAACTTGATGCAGATGCTGATCCTCCTGAAGTTATTCAAAACTGTCGAGCTATTCAAGCGTGTCTAGATACAATTACTGCTATAAAAAGAGCCAAATCAAATCAGATCTTTATTGATAAACTAGACGAAACACGTTCAACTATTACACTTGAAGATTCAAATGATAATTTACAACACAGAGAATTCACCTCTAAGAATCAAGAAAATTTCCAACTATTTTCTCATAATTTTATTCAATCTTAATCGTTCTTAGGCTTGTTGTCGTTGCTGGTAGTCAGACGTATTAATAGTTGTAATACTAATAACAACCAGTAATTTCTTTGTTGATCGGGTTAATTTTTCTGTAGAAAAAGAGATTCAGTTTCTTTTTTTACACAAAAAATAAATAATACTACACTTTTCAAGGGAATGTGGTTATTTTCGTAATTATTTTTCTGTGGATGGTTTTTCTATGCTTTATTACTTTTATGATACCGTGCATTACTTGGATGTACTAGCTAGTATTTACACTATTCCCAATTCATATTCATTACTCTATCTTCGAGTTCTTCCAATAAAATGGTTTTATATTATGTTGTATTAGTCATTAAAACGAAAAAAGAAGTCAGGTATTATCATAATTCATTTTTTAGCCGCATTTCACATTTCATATAATCACAAGATTTTTGAATGTTATTCCTTAAGGAGTATGTCAATACATTAAATATTGAATGGTATTAAATCGATACACAGTTCATTCATCTCTACTTATTCCGATTTTTTCTGTTATTATATATTATTGATGTATACAGCATACTATTTTTACAGTTTTCTGGAACATAATAGTTTTCATATTTGTATTTTAATTAATAATTTCTTTTCTTGAAATCGTGTTACATACAAACAAGTAAACCTTTAAACATAGCTTTCCTCATAGTGGAATTCACCAAAAATACAAAAAGTGATCCGATATTAGTCTCAGTAAATCAATCAGGATGCTCAGTCATTAAGTAGTCAATCTAGGAAATTTTGCTGTTAAAACGAAAAAGCCTGCACCATCATCATACGAAAATTGTTTCTATCACTAAATTTTTTTCATCTCCATGTAGTTCAGTCCAAAAGAACTGAAAACAACTGATCATAAAACAGATCATATATGTAATGTGAATTATACAAACTTGTCTGAAGGTGAGACGAATTTCACTGAAATAAGGGACATTGATCTACCCAGTTGATGGTCATCAGTGATTAGATTTACCTTTCGTTGATTTCTTGTCTTTGGAAGGTTTCAGTGTACAATCTGTCAAGACATCATTAGCTAAGCATCTGCTAACCTGTTATTTTATAATCTTTTGACAAGAACCTGACCTTCTAGAAGCATTAGTTCGAAGTATCCTCGTAGTAATCAGTGTCAAGGTTAGTGATGTCATTCATTTCAAACTATGTGAGACCAAATGACGATGTATGAATAAATTCATTTAGTATAGTTTGTTTGAATCTTCCCACAAGCAAGTGGCTATCAGGACTCAGTGGCCGAGTGGATAACGCGATGGCGTTTGAAGCGAGGGCATTGGGCTCGAGTCCCAGAGTGAACATCAACTCTGAGATGCAGGTACATCCAGCTGACGAGTCCCAAATAGGACGAAACGCGCGTCCTGGATTCCACTGCTAGCCACTATCCATCTCTGCTTACGATGTATGAATAATTCAGAAGTGAATAATCTTTTAGTGTTAATAGACATAGATACATTTACAACGTTTATGTTAGATATTCAAATGTACATGAAAGATAGCATATATACGACAGAAGTGGAAAAAAGAATAGATACTATAAAGAGTTTATTTTCTGTTATTACCTCATAATTCGACAGGAAAATCTATGACTATTAATGTCATAAACACAACTGACAAATTTACAACTTATCATTTTGTTTGAATTTGTGAATTAATCTACCCACTGTTCCAACAATACTTTTTCAGTTAATTATCGACGTTAAGAACTCATTTTATTCACATAGGATGGTTTGAAGCCCCTTTAATTAGTTGTGAAATCAAGATACTTTTGACTATGTATATAATGTGACGTACATTTGGGTATTAATGTTAGAGAATCGATACGAACATATCTTGTACACCACAGTACATATAATTTGAAATATTTAAGTACAGTTCATACCCAGTAAACTATGTTGAAAGAGATCATATGAATTCTTGATATATCATAGGAATTCATTAGATTCATCAGAAGGATTGTTGAGTTCACAATTATACTCACAACCACTAGAAGGTCAGTAGGTATTATAAACAAAGTAGATGTTAACTAATCGGTGTTTTATAGGAGTGAATTAAATGTTATTATTTAATTAATCTCGAAGAATGTTATTAACGAGTTGATATGGAATCAAACTAATTAAATTGTGATTGGGTAGACGGTTATCATTTAAATTGTATTACCTCATCGTTATCGTATTTTTTGGATTCTTCTAAATGAACACAGACATAAATGAACTGTGTTATTTGAACAATTCTATCAGTTGTAATTGAGTCAAAAATATATCTGATTCATAAAGACCTATTTTAAATCATTCCCTTGATCATAACTCAGTTACATCTATTAGGATCTGTTGTAATGTGTTCTAATTTCTTATCGCCATCAGTATTCTGAGTCAATATTTTGTCTTTCATATCCCATTTTCTAATGATTGATTGAACAGATTTATTCTGAGGTCAATTGAAAACTTAAGTCACAATAAACATTTAGCCAATGAGATTATAACTCGGTTGTCTTACAAATAAAGAGTAATCAGTTTACGATCATCACGCTTAAGTATGAATTTCCCGACCAGTTGTTTGGTAGCGAACGAGAACACAGGTAGGGACAATCGAATGTATTTGAATAAAAAATTAAAGAACACCTTAGTAAAATCTGACAACCATACGGTAAAATATTTATTTGCAAAATATCAATCAATCGTCTCAGACTTCATTGTCTTTTCGTTTCCATACAAATCATTTTCCGTTCTTCAAACTTCCTAACCTTCTGCCTCTGGGCATTTCACTTTCGATTGATGATACATACTACTTATATCTGTCGACATCAGTAGCAAACACTATAGTCCCACTAAATTCAAAGATCTTGAGTTATTGGAAATCAGGTATTGAGATAAGTGTAGTAGACCATACTGTATTTTCACATATATATAAAATCTGCCACTTCTCATGTTGATGTGTAACTATGATTTTCGATTTTATGGTGTGATTGATTTCGGCACCTCAGTAATGTAAACTCATCTTTGCTTGGAACAAACGCTAACAGAAGCTTAGCTGCAGTTTCATCGTTTCGTACTGAAGGTTAGGAATAGGAAAAGATGAACGAATCCGCAGGCCAATAGGAGTGAAACTTACGTTATCTCAAGATTAATTTTGTCAGTCAGAACGCGCCACAAGTCATGACTAAGGATGCTAGGCTACAGATCAAACAGTATATACGGAGCCGCGACCCTGATTCGCGAATTTAGGAAATGATATCGAATGACATATCTCAGATATAATAGTACTGAGAAAATGGATTTTAAACTCTTCAAATGAATTGAACCTGCAAAAACTAACCATTCACAAATCTTAATTATAGCATGAGTACAAATCATTTCAAATCAGTAACCGTAGTTTTCAGTAAACATGTGAGTTAAATGAATTGTCGGTTCATAGACATTGTTTTGTTACAAGAAAACGTAAATACAAAACAGATTTATGACTGACAGAAATGGGGTAATATTTACTTAATTATTTTGTTTTTGCCGCACTAAATCAATATTCGTAACAAGCATATATAGAGTCAAAATTTACTTCCATCAGTTTTAGTTTCATAATCTGAAAGCAGAAATTTTAGTATACAACAGAAACATTACAAACTTCCTGAGTATTTTGTCATTATTGTGGACCTATGTTTTGGTTTGCTCGTATCATAACATATTTTGTATACGCCTAAACACTCAGCCGGGCGCTTAAACAATGTAGACCATGTCTATCTACCATACTAATATAATATGTGTAACCCTCTGACGCTTTGGACAATACGCTATGTAGGTCCGCTTGTCCTACCAACCTATGCAAGGTGGGTGACATACAGTAATTCCTTAGACTTTCGTAGTTGATTTCCGATTTTTACTTTAGCTGAAGAAAGGTGGTTAAGCAGAGTTGGAGGAACATATAATTTAAGGGAAATAGCAACTGTAGTAAGATGAAATAACGGAAAAGCCAACTGACTGAAGGAACAGGTATGTATAACACTGATGAGCTCTAACAGTACTGTACTGTATATTTTCGAGTAGCATTTGAAGAAAACCACTAGCAACTACATTTGTAGTCATACATTTCCTTCTCACAAAACCATACTGCTGTCCGATCAGATAAATTAGTTTCGGGGAACAGATTAGGCTTAATCATTTAATAGCCGATAACTCCAGAAGAATTTCGACTGCGGCCCCTCTGAAGCAACTGGAATTTCAAAACCCAAGTACAGGAGAGTTTGATGCAACTTTAGCAACCCAACCTCGTAAAACAATCTCGATAAGAATAGGGAAACAAAGAGAACCAACTGAACTCTGAAAGATATTTACAAAGAAGAAATATGATGTCTGATGATGAAAGCCTTGAGTCTCTAGAAGTCGCAAAAACGACTGGTTTGCTGACCACCAGAGAGCAATACAGTCAGTCAACAACAACGTAGGACCAGGCACATATATGTGTCGGTCCAAGTTGCCTCACCTCATTAGCATGTAGTACCAGTTCATATGTTAGGCCCATATACTTTATTCTAGTTACTGGCCAAGCCAATTCACCTGTACATTGAGTCATCTTTTGATCATATTAATTATTCCCTTATTGACCTTGACTATTTTTTTTATATGAGCGTATGTGTATGCACACTTCTTATCCTACCTATCACATGTCTGTCATTCATTTTAGCCTGACTATAAATGTTGATTAATGCTTGCTTATAACGAGTTGGCTTCCCAGCCATCTCCAATACGCATCATCTTTGCTTCGCTTGCTTACAGTTGCTCATGTGCTTACAACTTTCTGGTCTGCATCGATTATCAATAAAAATGTAGTTGCCGCTTCCCTTTGCCTTCTGATATTATACACCGTTAAGATTGGTATTAATAACGGTTATCGAAGCGAACTATGATCGAAGCACGGCACTACAAAACTGGTAATCCCGACGTACGAACACGCAACACAATTAGCGATCCCGACTTACGAACGCGAAAACATAATTGGATGTCTCGTCGAACGAACATCGACAACCTCGACGTACGAACTCACAACATAATTGGCACGCCGTATTTGGAACACGCGACAGAATCGGCAACCGCAACGAGTGAACACAAATCAAAAATGAAACCGCCGACGACATATTTCGTTAATTCTAATAATCATCATACGCTCATTATTACAATAATGTCATATCATCATCTAACGTGGAATTATTATTTTGTTCGTATTAACATTGAACTATGACATATACGCAGACAAATCACTAATCGAACAAATTATAATTATTTGGACATTACACGTTATCATATTCGAAACGCACTGGATTATTTTTATTATCCAATGACGTACAATTTTCCTGATTCAAGTGAGTTCGTTCCAATTTTTTCATGTCATTTTCGGCTTAATATTACACTCTATCATAGACATAAGTTTGGAGTCATACTCCCGATAGTAGGAACTTATGTTCTCGATAGACAACTAATGTTCATTCATTTCATTGGTACGCAGCAACCGTCGTTTCCTACATTTTCAGCGACAATTTAAACCGAACTTCCGCAATTTTTGGTTTCACGATGATCCCCAGTTTAGTATCTGTGAACAAATCAAGTATTAGACGCCGCATTACCAGCCAATTAGTAATGATTATTTTCATATTATCTATTCATTCACATGTATAACTGAATGCTGCAT